TCAAAGTGTATAGGTATTTAAAATTTGTGTGCTTTGTTTAATATCACTTTACCAGATGAATTATATCTTACTGTTTTAATTTGTGTTTGATTACTTGCAGGGTCAAAACACAGGGAGCAGTCCTTATTTTTGTAGGTTAAATATTGGCAGTTTCTTGATCCAGCTGAGTATCCATGGGCTATTTATACTTTTCTGAATTGCCTATTCATTACTTCTTACTGACTTCCTTTCAGTTTCTTGGTTTTTCTCTACTTATTTCAAGGTTTATTCATATTAAGAAATTAACCCCTTCTCAGTGCATTTTAAATATATTTTCTAGTCAGTCTTTGATTTGTTTTCATTTTGTTTAGCCTCCTGCTTAGATTATTGTTCTGAGCAGAAATTTGACCACATAAAAAATTTAACAAATAATGCCTTTTTCTTTGTGAGTTCTGTTTTTGTGTTGCTTAGAATGGATTTACCGCAAAACTACAGAAATATTCTGCTATACGTTTCTCTAATACTTTTTAAATTTTTTCAATTCATATCTTTAATTCATCTGAAACTAGTTTTCATGTATGGTATGAGATTGCATAGCTAACCTATAACAAAATCCTTTCCCAATTAGTTTGAAATGCCAGTTTTATCCTACATGATTCTGCTTGAGTTTCCTCTGTAGCCCAATACCATTTATTTTTATCCAGTGTTGAATTGTTTAAAATATTTTAATTTTATAGTTCATTTTGATCTTTGTAGTGCAAGTCCCCCATCCCCTTGCCAGTCACTTTGTAAACATCTGTTAAATGTATGCTACATCACCTTAGAACCAATTCATTTAATTAAAATTGAAAGTTTATTAGTGATTAGAGTCGTGTTGTATTCTTAAGGTAACTTGGGGAGATATGTCTTCTTTGCAGTATTGAAGCTTCTTATCCAGACACAGAAGTTTCTTCAGTCTTATCTTCTATGTCAGTCAGTAAAATTTCATTGTTTTCTTTCATTGGCTCCTTCACATTTCCTGTTAAATTATTTCTATATTTTTTGTTTCAGTTTAAAAAAAATTTTTTTTTAATGTTTTATTTATTTCTAGGAGAGAGAGAGAGACAGCGTGAGCAGGGGAGGGTCAGAGAGAGAGGGAGTCACAGACTCTGAAACAGCCTCCAGACTCTGAGCTGGCAGTCAGCACAGAGCCCGACGCGGGGCTCGAACCCACGAACCGCGAGATCATGACCTAAGTGAAAGTAGGACGCTTAACCGACTAAGCCACCCAGGCGCCCCAATGTTTCAGTTTTTTTTAATGTTATTTATTTTTTGAGAGACAGAGAGAGAGAGCGAGAGAGCGAGCAAGCGCGAGAGCACAAATGGGGGAGGGACACAGAGAGAGAGACTCAGATGCGAAGCAGGCTCCAGGCTGTCAGCACAGAGCCCAACACGGGGCTCAAACTCACAGACCGTGAGATTGTGACCTGAGCTGAAGTCAGATGCTTAATCGACTGAGCCATGAAGGCGCCCCTTTTTTGTTTTCATTTTGATAGTATTTTGGATGACTCTTTTCCCCCCATGCTTTCTAATTTATTTAGTTTTTTCATTTTCACAGTTTAAAGTTGCATATAAGATTACTTTATTCCTGTATCTTCTCATTTGTTTCTTTCTTAGAGTTACCCTTTTCCTTTCTTACTTTGTTAGATTTGGCTTTATGTTCAAGGGTCTTTTTGTGGTCTTCGTCTGGTTTTAGTCTAGTGATAACCATCCTGCTGGGTGAAGGCCCCCATGGACAGCTCTGCCATTTGTTTTCTCTCACTGTACTTGTTAGTGTAGCTGACCTGTTTCTTCCTATAAACCTGAACTACTTTGCCGGTTTGCGGACTTTGGTCGTGTACAACCTTTACTTCCTCATCCTTTTGAATGGGCATGGATCAAACTGTTTACTTTTGTGTCAGCTCTTTGGAAAGATGAGAAGACATAATCTCCCTGCAAATTGTGGGAAGGTACGTGGAAGTGACTTTAATGGTTCTTGCTCTGGTCAGAAGTCACAAAGGGATTGAACTTCATGTTGACCATTGGCGCTTCAGCGATGGCCACGAATGGCTCCCACTTCCTAACTTAATTGGAATATAGGAAAACCCTTGTTTTTCCACATTTACCTCCTATTTATTCACCTTCTAAACTCCGGTATTGTTTCTAAGAGTTTTTATTAGATTATCTCAGGTTTTTCTTGGTGAAAAATGTATTTTGTCTTTGTTTCTTCTTTTACAGTATTTATTCCTGATTTTTGTTCTTTTGTTTCTATTACATAACATTGGTTTGAACCTCTAGAAAATAGTGAATAATGTTAGTGATGGCAAGGAACCTGTTCTTTTTTTTTTTTTTTTTTTTTTTTTTTTTTTTTTTTTTTTTTTTTTTTTTTTTTTTTTTTTTTTTTTTTTTTTTTTTTTTTTTTTAACATTATTGCTGTATTTCACTAGGAAGTTTGATAATTGCTATTGTTTTCTGGAGGGTACTCTGTCTAAGTATATGAGTGTGTGTGTCTGTATGCCTGGGTGTGATTTTACTTTTGTTTTTTCAAGTTAATATTAACTTGAATTTTTTCATACCAGTGAAAAATACCAGGCCAGTAATTATCAAACTTACTGATGAAATATAGCAATAATGTTAGAAGCATTACATTTGTGTCTTGTTTATATTTTTCTTAGTAATTTCAGTGGGATCCATGAAAGGAGAAGTTAATTTTTAATCGACTCTGTTTACCATCTTGAAAACAGAAGTCTATACTTATGTTTAGGGGACAGTAGAGTGAGAGTTAGAGGAGAAAACATAGAGAATATCTAACTCTATTTAAAGTACTTTCTGTGCTTCCCAAATAACTTTATTTGCTTTACTTATATTGATTCATTTAATCCTCCCACTAGGGTGTTTAGATGCTGGCACTATTCCCTTTTTTACAAGGAGAAAATTGAGAGATTTTAAGTTGACTTGCAGGAAGCAGTAAAATGAAGATTCCAACTCAAGAATGTTTTCCATTTCTTTTGAGAAATTTCCTAGGATGGGAAAAAGGAAAGTGTCATCAGTGAACATTGATTATTTCTCTTAGAAATTTGATAAAAAGGAGAAAAATGGACAGTAGCAGAGGTATAGCAAGAGTTGAAGGAAGATTTTTTTTCAGGAAAAGATTTGAATATGTTCAGTAATGAAGAAGATTCAGTCATATATATGAAATTGAAAATGTAATGTTACAAGAGAATACTTAGGGAAGGAAGATACTAATAATGAATGCAAGAAGACATGAATTTGAGGGTGAGTAATAGTTCACTTTAGAAATTCAAAGGGATATTTTTTCCCTAGAAATAAGAGGGAAGAAAAAGATTATTGATGTCAAGGAACTTCATGGTGGGACAAGGAAGGCTGAGGTAGCCTACCTACTTCTTAGTTAAGTTACCGACTTCTTAGCTATGTAGAAGGTGAAAGTCATTTGTTAAGGGAAAGTAAGGGGGACAGTAGGAGATGTAATTAGGTACTGAGGGAAAATGGAACAAGCTTTGAGGGATTATTGATTTCCGATAATCGTTATTAAATTTTTTTTACTTCTTCCAGATAATTCTTTTATATTAAACATATATAAGATATATGTAATAAATAGTATGTATTTAAAAGCTGTAACAGATTTAGCACATAAATACATATATATTATACATATTATATATATATATATATATATATATATATATATATTAGAAGTTATAATAGTATTTAGCATGTGTAACATTAGCATGTTAAAGCTCCAAAAAGGTCTACCGGGAAAACTAATATCTTATTTTGTGCAGCACAGAATTTCCCAAATATATTTTATCAATGAATATCTTTTTCATGTACCAGTTGTTAATTGCAAAACACACTTTGAAATTATCCAGTTTAATCTATCCAGGATATTTTAATTTGGAGAGCAGAAAACAGCTTCAGAGTAGGGATATGAGATACACTCCTGTCATTACTGAATCAATCAGAAATTGGGCCTATGTTATCTTATATCTACAAAATAATACCTACCACTTATTGTGAATCATTTGTGTTCTTTGTGTGTTTTGTGTGTGCAGGGTATGTGTGTGTTTTAGTGATTCCTCATTAACATTTTTATCTTTGTTGCCGATGAAGAAACTGAGACAAAGAAAGATGAAATAAGTTATCTAGTTAAATGGGAAAGACATGATTGAAACACAGGTCCTTCATAATTCAAAATCTACTCCTTATAGTATATTTCCCTTGCTTATAGTTCTCTTTTGATAGCATGAAATGAGTAATTTCCTGCTGGATGCCTGAGGTATGGCCACAGACATGTATTTCTTTTTTAAAATAACGTACATTATACCTAGAGTAGTTATGAAACTTGATATTACTTGCATTATCTGTTCTGCCAGAAATAATTTATTTCTGTTTATATTAAAAGTATGATTACTCAGAGTGACATGCTAAAGAAATACTCAGGGGTGTGGGCCATATTTTCCATATGTATGTGCCAAAGAATATAGAGTTGTTAATAGGTATTCTAAAAAGGGGAAGAGAAGTTCATGGTGAAATAAAATTTGGAAACACTGCATATTATATATTCTCTTTGGAGAGCAAATTAAAGACTATAATAAAGAGATCTATTTCCCAGCATTTCTGTAACTTACTTGACAATATTTTTTTTCAAGACTCTCTCATCGCATCTTAAGGAATTAGCATTCATTAGAACCAAGTTTAGTAAATGATAATATAGACTAAAAGTAAGCTTCTCTTTTGGCACATCCCAGTTAGCCTTTCATCAGCTCAGTGTGTTTCATAGCTAGAGCTACTTAAGGATTATATTTGGATATATTCCAAATGCATACTTACTACTAAGTACGCTAACCTTTAAATGGTGCCAATTCCTACTATTTCACATTGCTTTTCTGCCATTGTTGCGTTTTAAATACTCTTTATGCTTTTTCAGTATACTTCGGTTAATTCAGATATATTTGCATGTTTTTTTATTCTTACCCTTTTAGATATGGGAGAAAGGATGACTATAAATGCGAGTGCAGATGGCAACATTGGAGCTATAGAGGATGGCAGCGACAGTGAAAATATTCAAGCAAATGGAATTCCAGGAACACCGATTTCTGTTGCATATACACCATCTTTACCTGATGACAGATTGTCTGTCTCTTCCAATGATACTCAGGTATAAATGGGGGGCAGCAGATGTTTTGTTAATCTTACAGATTTATGAGCTACCAGCACTTCGTAGTGAATATATCCAGTATATCCAGTTGATAATGCTGACTGGTTACAGTTTAGGGAAATAAAGACTTGTTTCTTTTTCTCATTGATATAAATCAAAGCAGTTTACTCCCTAAATATATTGATAGCTAAATTTCCAACTCTAAGCTGTGTTTCATATGTGTTCACATCTTCTCCAGGCACACTCCGTTGAAATTACATTTAAAAAGAACATTTTTATCATGTATTCATAGGACAATTGTAGCATCACTGGATGAGAAAGAACTTTTAGAAATCTAGGGAACTTCATCTTAACGTTCATTCAGGGCTAAATGAAATCTGAACTGTGGTAGTGATAGGTTTTCCTCATCCCCCATGCCCTACATTTAGTGTGTTTTTATTTTTATCCTTTTAGATAAGGGAGTCCTACACTAAATCATTGCCCCGTATATAGGGTTCAGCTTTCTTGACCTTGTTGACCTTCATCACTTAACACCTTTTAAACATTGCCTTGACAATTTCTATTGTTTTATGTCTATCTGTACAGAATAGATAAAAAATAAAATAGGACGAAAACATAAAACACCAAATAACAGGTAGTAAAAAGCATGGTTTAGGCCATGGATGAAGTGTCTTGTCAGGGCATGATGTGCTAGATTTTGTTAGTAATGGTATGAAATGGATAAAGTTTGAAGAGTTTTTTGGTGGCAAAAAGAATATTTCTAAATTTATTTTTTAAGGTATTAATTTATTATTGGGGGGGCAGGGTGATATTTCTGATTAAAGAGAAACAGTGTGGCCAATTCCTCATCAGGTTTCTTTTCCAACAGAACACCCTCCAATACTGATCTGAATAGGATACATAGAATGCTGAAATGATTTTACACTGTCAAATGTCTTTATTTACATGGTATGTTAACTTGTTTAGGAATCTGGAAATTCTTCAGGACCTTCACCTGGTGCTAAGTTTTCCCACATTTTACAAAAGGATGCCTTTCTAGTATTCAGGTCATTGTGTAAACTGTCCATGAAACCACTGTCAGATGGGCCACCAGATCCAAAGTAAGTCAGTAGCTGTTCTGCTTGACAGATAGCGTTTTTTAAGCTTGAAAACTTACTGTAAGATAGTCTTTGGATTTTCTTTTGTTCTTCTTGTCCTGTAGAACCCTCAAAAAGGTATTTTAGGAATATTTTGCTTTTTTAAAAATGTATTTGAAAAACAGTGAGTTCCAAAATTGCTGGATACCTTATACTGTTTCCCAAAGCATACCAACAACATTAGGCAACTGTGCCTGGTACATAGTAGGTGCTCGATAAATACTGAATGATTGAAAGAATTCTTATTTCAGTATTATAAGTAACTTTGGAGTTAAAGTAGCCCTGTCATATGTAGCCCCATGCTAAGTTTTGAAAGCTACCAGTTGAAAGGTAATAAAACTAAGAGAAATAAATTTTAAAATTCATCATGAAAGTTATGTATACACTAAGGTTGGAAAAATGCCCTGAAGTGATACCTTTCTCTGTGGAGAACAGGGACTACTTCGAGATAGGAGTCACTTCTCTGGTTCCTGTCAAATGTATCAGTTTAAACCTTAGAAAAATGCCATTTTTCTAAGTCATAAATCATCAAATATCTTTCATTTCCTAAGAGTCAAATGTAACTAATTCTTGCTTAAGACTGGGTTTGGGCACTGTTAGAGGGGCATGCCTCCCTAATGTTGCAACATGATATAATATAGCATGACAATTTTAGGAGAACTTTCTGGAGAAAGAAATCTTAAAGAAGGCCTGAGTGACTTTGAGAAAAGAATATTGAAATAGGAGGGAAATGTAAACAATGCTACTTCATTTTTTGAAAACACTACTTCATTTTTTAGAACTTGAGAGCATTTCACTTTCTAAATGTCGGCTAAGAAAAAAGACTAGAGACAGTTACAGTAAAAAATGTAAGTTTGGGGAAGTACATTTGTTATATTTTCTGTAGTTTTATTTTGTAACATAGTACTGATTCAGTGAGAAACATCTTTTAAGCCACAAAGTCTAAAATTCTAAAATCATTCTAGGCCCAAATCCTGAGAGTCAGAAATACAATTTTTTATTTTTCTTTATTTCAAAAATATAAACTCTACAGAGAAAGGGTTAAAGTTCACATTGCAGTATAAATTTGATTATACCCTATGTATGTTACAAAAACGTATTCAAAATTTTTTCACTTTTTATTCTCACTATGAAAGGAAAAATACTTCATTCTGAATTGTTAGACTTTAAGAAGGTAGTGACTTAAGATTTTGGTGTTATTGCTGAAGGCCATCTTTGCCTTGATTTGAAAATGTTATTAATCTTAAAAGTCTCAGGTGTTTAGTTTCCCAAATCAAATGTAAAAAAGTGTGATTAGAAAAACAATAAACAAAAAAGGGAGAATTCTTTAAAGTGCCCAAAATGAAAAGAACGCAAAAGAAAATAACATGAATTTTGAGGAGAACTATGGGGGAGGGCTTTCATTTAGCTGTATAAAAAGAATATAGTTTTGGAGACCCGCAGTCTTTAGTATTACAGAGGATTCTTATGAGGAATAATGTAAATTATCCTCCTCCTCTGTGGGTTTAAACCAAATATTAGGAACTTTTGAACATAGAAAAGACCTTCTTCTGATCATCAGGGACATTAAACATTAGAATTGAATACTGAAGAAATCAAATTTTTTAAACTCTTCTTTTCTAAAAGAGAATATATATGGTCTTCTGTCTTGAATGATTTTTTACTAAAATTAATGACTTTTTTAGGTATGTAATTTTCTTTTTTGTCTTTGCTTCTCTTGATACTTTGTGGTCTTGCCTTGCTAAGATTTTGATTCAGGAAATGTTAAGACTGATCCATATTTTGAAACTACCCCATAAAAATATGCAGACCTGAAATTTCTAGCTTCTTTTACCTATAAAAGTGGACTTTTATGGTGTCATAAGACAACCATTTGATCATTTCTTCATTAATTAATGTCTTGTAGATAGTAGGTACTTAATAAATGTTTAGATGGGTGCAAGAATAAATCCATGAGTTATATTGAGCACATACTAAGTACAAGGCATTTTGTTAGAGCTGGGGATACAAAAATAACTTACAACAAAAAGTCACGTGTTAGAGAATAGTAGGCTGCAGGTTTGAATAACTGTTGGAGTTGAGCAAAAAAGATGGTAAATTAGCTAGACTAGGAAGTAGTTGTGACATAAAGCCTTGGAAGGCCTCAGCATGAAGGGGAGACACTTCACCCACGCCCTGTTTTCCTGTAGCTATTCAAAATCTTACCTCTCACTGTTTCTGAGTTGGTTTTTTTAAGTGTGTGTGTGTGTGTGTGTGTGTGTGTGTGTGTGTGGTTACATGTGTGTATTATACTGTATTTGCTACACATATATAGATTCAGAGGCATAGCCGTCTTGGAAGGTTGATATGTATTAATGAGCCATGATGTTATTGGTTCCAGTTTTATTTCAAAGATGGTAATATTTTTGTGATTCCCACTTATATGAAATTAAATATTCCTAGTTAGAGTTTCTTAAGTCCTAGAATTACTCAACACTTAAGACCATAAAATATTTGAGGTAGAAATCAGAAACAATTAAGTTATCCGTCGATGGTGTGAATGCGACTGATAATAGTATTTGGAATAAAGAAAAGAATTAGCTGTTAGAACATTTAAGTATGTTCCTGTGTTCTGCGTTTGAAAAGTTGCCTGGGTTCCAATCTTGGTCTGCTGGACTTAAGATGCCTGTTTTATGGGAGAAAAATTGTGTTTGTGAAATCTGATAATTATAAGGCTAGATACTGATCAGAATATGGCATAGTATATTGATCAGAAAAGAGTGAAATTTTAAGCTGAAAAGGCAGTTTTTTCCTTTTCCTTATTTAAAATATTTGGAATAAATGGGTAAATTGTTAAGAGAAATAAATGTTCTGAAAGCCTCTTTGAATTTTAAAAAAGAAAACAACTTAAGTGGTTTTGAAAAAGTAACCTTGAAGTCCTGTAACTTGTTCATATAACCAAAACTTTGTTTAGGATTTTTGAGTAGCATGCCTAGGAAAAAAAAAGCACATTATATTATATACTAAACTATCATATATTCTATACTATGGAACTACTATATACTAAATATGGTAGTTAATCTGGGAAGAGTTCGTGATGTTTTCTAAAAGGTGAAATAGGCTTGGGAAAGAAAGGAAGAAGGAATAAATCTTCATTTTTCTTGTCTAGTGGAACAGTATGTTGATTTTAAATGTGTGTGGATGATTGTTTTCCATTTAAAAGTTTATGAAATTATGTGGTACTTGAGAACGTAATTGGAACTAACCTATCACTAGTGGCGAAGCTTATTCATATACTGTACTTTGTTTATGTTGTAGACTTTTCTGTTCTTCTCCATTTAAAAGTTTGTGAAATTATGTGGTACCAGGAAATATCTTTGGAACAGCCTTTTAATACCATAATGCTAAATTTGTCCATATACTGTGCCTTCTTTTTTACATTTTAGGTCTCATGAGTTACGATCCAAGATTCTTTCATTGCAGTTACTTCTATCCATTCTGCAGAATGCAGGACCTGTTTTCAGGACAAATGAGATGTTTATTAATGCTATTAAGCAGTATCTGTGTGTTGCACTCTCAAAAAATGGAGTCTCATCTGTTCCAGAGGTTTTTGAGCTTTCTCTTTCCATATTTCTTACTTTGTTGTCAAACTTCAAGACGCATCTGAAGATGCAAATTGAGGTATGTTCTGCATTTAGGCATGTTGGGTATTTCATTTGTTTCATGTTAAATAAGATTATTAACACCCTGGAAAGTTTTTCAGAATGTAAAATAATATTTGTGTGTTGTTGTGAACAGTTGACCCTTAAACAATAGTGCTTTGAATTAAGTAGGCCCACTTACATGTGAATTTCTTTCACTAAGTGCAGGTACAATAGTGTAAATGTATTTTCTCTTCCTTATGATTCCTTCCCTCCTTTCTTTCTTTCTTTCCTTTCTGTCTTGAGAGAGAGCCAGGGAGATTGAGAGAGAATCCCAAGCAGGCTTCGTTACTGACACGTAGCTGAGAGCGGGGCCTAAACTAATGAACTGCAGTGTCATGGCCTGAGCCGAGGTCAAGAGTCAGAAGCTTAACCTGCTGAACCACCCAGGGGCTTCCCCCTTATGATTTTCTTTTTTCTTTGTTTTAAGTTTATTTATTTATTGAGAGGGAGAGAACACGCAGGGGAAACGCAGAGAGAGAGGGGAACAGAGAATCCAAAGCAGGCTCTGTGCCAACAGCCAAGCTCGGAAGCTTAACCGACAGAGCCAACCAGGCGCCCCACCTCTTTATGATTTTCTTAGTAACATTTTCTTTTCACTAGTTTACTTTATTATAAGAATACAATATATAATACAGAATACATGTTAGTTGAATGTTTATGTTGTCGTAAGGCTTCTAGTCAACAGTAGGCTATTAGTAGTTAAGTTTTTGGGGAGTTAAAGTTATACGTAGACTTCAGCTGTATGGCGCTCAGTGCACCGACCCTCACATTGTTCAAGGGTCAGTTGTGCTCCTTTTTTTTCAGTTAGCCATTTAAATGATGAAGTACTAAGCACTAGGTAAACACCAAGGATACAAAATCAAATTAAGACACAGCCCCTGCCTTCAAGGTTTTTATTCTGGTTGAGTGGTTCTAGTTGTCTTGAGTTAATTCGGTCTTTATAATAATTTTGCCATTGTGTATATGGTATATAATAATACATTTGGTTATCTTAAAAGAAAGCTGCAAATATGTACATTATATATGGTTTTAAGCCATCAAAGTTTTGGGACACTTTAAAGAGTAAGGATTATATTTTTAGGGTTCTATTTTAGGAATTTGACATTTTAATTTTTGCTTTGTATTATTCTTCTAATGTGTATGTTATATTTCTAAACATTACCAGAGACCTGGTAAAACTAATAAATTAAGTAGTTTTCCAGCCATGGCTGCAAATATAATGCAGGTGTATTAGTTCGTGATATTTTGTTTTCACTTTCAAATAATTCAGTATTTAAAATGGTACTTTTATGTTTTACCCAATTTAGTTGGTGCTTGTTTCCACTTATCAGTTGTTAAAATACTGTCTTGGGGGCCGCCTGGGTGGCTCAGTCGGTTGGGCATCTAGCTTCGGCTCAGGTCATGATCTCACAGTTCGTGGGTTTGAGCCCCACGTCGGGCTCTGTGCTGACAGCTCAGAGCCTGGAGCCTGTCTTTGGATTCTGTGTCTCCCTCTCTCTCTCTCTCTGACGCTCCCCTGCTCACACTCTCGCAAAAATAAATTAAAAAAAAAAATCAAAAAAATTAAAAAATATTGTCTTGGTTGGGACAGTGTACATTTTAGAAACACTTTTATGCTGGTCAGCTTTCAACTATATGTTTGATATGCTATGCAGTTTACATTTTAATTGTTACAATTTTTAAAAACTGAAGTGTAGTTGACACTATGTTACATTTGGTTCAGATGTACAATAGTGATCTGACAGCTCTATACGTTGTGCTCTGCTCACCACAAGTGTAGCTGGCATCTGTCACCATACAATGCTATTAAAATACCACTGACTACACTTCTCATTACCATGATTTATCTTTTCCTTAATTGGAAGCCTGTAGCTCCCAATACCTTTTACTTATAATTTTTATAAATTTTATGTTTAATCCTAACTAAAGACTGATAATTTATTAGCTCAATGAAAGGATAAATTATCATTTTCCCAGAGATTTGAGATGGTTAAAACAATGAGACTGTATTACTAATCTACAGTATCTATTAAAATTCACATAGAATATTATGGGAATAAGACAGAATAAGGCCTTGGTATTTTAAGTGAAAAGTTTTTATATTGGGTACAAATTTTGGACAGGAAACAATTTCTGGTGGGTATATATTGTCAAATTTTGGTTTGTCTTCTGTTAAAATAACAGAAGGCATTTAACTAAGTAGGAATAGTTGCTATTTTTCGATAGTTTTTTCCAGTTATCTTCAGGAACTACAAATGAAAGAGATTTAAAAAAAAAAAACTTTTGAAACTTTTGCTTCCATACTCACCCAAAGGTCTTTCATTTGATGATGAAGCATTTAGATTCCCATTAGAGTATTTTGGAAAACTGTGTATTCATTTACTTAGAGATTTTTGAATACAACTTTTTAAAGCACTGTTTAGCAGACTGTGAAATACAAATTCGTAGGATACTAGGTATCACAAAAATCATTTAAGTTTGGATTACTATTTTTGTAGATTAAATGCAAATTCAATGCAGATTTATTCGATATATAAAATTTTTGGAAGCACAAATTTAAAAGGAAATACTACTAGTAAGAAATTTCCTTTGTCCTCAGATGGTAGATTCTCATTACAAAATTGTTGTAATACTGTTCTGTATATTTAAAGAGAATACGTCTATTTCATTTTCCACTGTCCCTTATGGGGAGATTGAGGATCAGACAAGATAAGTGTAAATATGCTTTTGAAAATACTAAGCATGTTCAAATGCATGGTAAACTGTATTCTATTTGGAAAAAAACCAAGCCCACGTATGAAATCCTAAATTTGCAAAGCAGTGTTGAAATTGTTATGACATGAATATTCATTTTATGAGAATATTCACTTCAGAGTTTCTGTAATGTGATTTTTCTATGGACATTAACTTACACGTCTATATCAGAAGATAGTTTATGCACAACTTCCAAGAAAATACCTACTTGCAGACAGTATTTATTATAGTACTGTTACTCTACATACATTACATTATAGGTGCTCTATAAATCTTTTTTGAAAAAGTTTGGTTTTTCTAGAGCCCCTGTTGATAGGCATGGTATCTTAAATACAATTGAAGGCTGTTGCGTATTGGTACAATTTGATAATCCATAGAGTAGCTAAAGTTTTCATTTTCCTCTTTCACCCAATCTAGCGGTTTTATTTATTCCATAAATTGGAGAGTTCCAAACTTTCTTTTTTATATATTTGTTTGTTGAATATAATTCACATACACTATTATATTAGTGTCAGGTGTACAACATTGTGACTCAACATTTGTGTACATTGCAGGGTGGTCACTGTAATAAATCTAGTTACCATCTATTACCTTACAAAGTTAAATACAAAATTATAACTGGATTCCCCATGCTTGGTATTACATCCCCCCCAAGACTTATTTTATATAACTGAAAGTTTATACCCCTTAATGCCCTGGACCTGTTTTGCACATCCACAGCCTCACCCTCTGTCAACCAACCACCAGTCTGTTCTCTGTATCTAGGAGACAGGGGCTTTGTTTCCTTTTGTTTGCTTTTGCTTTTTGGACTCTGCATGTCAGTGAAACTGTGCAGGATTTGTCTTTCTCTGTCTTATTTCATTTAGCATAATACCTGCAAGATTTATCTCTGTTGTCGCAGATGACAAGATTTAAGTTATTTTCTATGGCTGAGTAGTGTTCCATTGTTTATATATGCTATCTTCTTTATCCATTCACTCATTGATGGACTCTGAGATTGTTATGTCTTTTGTAAATAACACTGCAGTGAGCATATGGATCACATATTTTTTCAAATTAGTGTTTTCATTTCTTTGTAGAGATATCCATTAGTGGAATTGCTGGATTATATAGTAGCTCTTTGAAGAACCTCCATACTGTTTTCCATGGTAGCTGTACTACATTGTAAACTACACAAGAGTTTCCTTTTCTCTACCTCCTTGCCAACACTTATTGCTTATCTTTTGGATATTAGATGTTCTGATAGGCTTAAGGTGGTTCCTTGTTGTGGTTTTGATTTGCATTTCCCATACAATATACATATATGTATGTATTTATATTTATATGAATATATACATACATATGTATATGTATTTAATGTTTGTTTATTTTTGAGAGAAGAAGACAGAGCATGAGTGGGGAAGGGGCAGAGAGAGAGGGAGACGCAGGCTCCAGGCTCTGAGTTGTCAGCACACAAAACCTGATCCGTGGCTCAAACTGACGAACTATGAGATCATGACCTGAGCAGAAGTCAGATACTTAACCGACTGAACCACTCAGGCGCCCGTGCATTTCCCTGATTGAGCATCTTTTTATGTGCCTGTTGGCCATTTGTATGTCTTCTTAGGAAAAATGTCTATTTGTATCCTTTGCCCATTTTTTATTTTTATTTTTATTTTTATTATTTTTTTAAAAATGTTTTATTTATTTCTAGGAGAGAGAGACAGTGTGAGCAGGGGAGGGTCAGAGAGAGAGGGAGTCACAGACTGAAACAGGCTCCAGGCTCTGAGCTGGCAGTCAGCACAGAGCCCGATGCGGGGCCCGAACCCACGAACCGCGAGATCATGACCTAAGCGAAAGTCGGACGCTTAACTGACTAAGCCACCCAGGCGCCCCTCTTTGCCCATTTTTTAATTGGTTGGGTTTTTTTTGTTTTTTGCTGTTGAGTTGTATCAGTTCTTTATATGTATTAGATATTAACCCCTTGTTAATACCTTCTTCCATTCAGTAGGTTGCCTTTTCGTTTCATTAATGGTTTCCTTTGCTGTGCAGAAGCTGTTTAGTTTGATATAGTCCCATTTGTTTATTTATGCTTTTGTTTCCCTTGCCTTTAGAATCAGATCCAAAAAGGCATCACCAAGACTAATGTCAAGAAGCTTACCACCTGTGTTTTTTTCTGGGAGTTTTATGGTTAAAGGTCTTACCTTCAAGAATTTAATCATTTTGAGTTAATTTTTGTATATATTGTAAGATAGTGGTTCAGTTCACCATTTCACGTATAGCTGTCCAGTTTGCTCAACAACAGTGATTAAAGAAACTGATTACTGACTCAGTCTCCTTACTAGTAATTGGTCTGTTCAGATTTTCTAGTTCTTCCTGATTCAGTCTTAGAAGATTGTGTGTTTTTAGGAATTTATACATTTCTTCTAGTTGTCCCATTTGTTGGTATAAGATTATTCATAGTAGTCTTCTGTGATCTTTTGTATATCTTTGAAATCAAGTGTAACATCCTGTTTCATTTCTGATTTTATTTATTTGAGCCCTGTCTCTTTTTTCTTGGTCAGTCTACCTGAAGGTTTGTCAGTTTGTTTCTTTTTTCAAAGAATCAACTCATTGTTTATTGATCTTTTCAGTCTGTCTTTATTATTTTTACTCTGATCTTTATCATTTCCTTCCTTTTAGTGAGTTAGGGTCCATGTATTTATTCTTCTTTTTCTAATTCCCTAAGGTGTAAGGTTAAGTTGTTCAGTTGAGATTCTTTGGTTTCTTGAAGTAGGCTTATATTGGTGTGATTCCCCTCTCAGAACCACTTTTGCTGCATCATATGTATTTTGGGATACTGTATTTGTTTTCATTTGTCTTTAGGTAGTTATGACCCAGTTGCTTATAATGTGTTGTTTAGTCTCCACAGATTTGTACTTTTTCCATTTTTCTTCTTGTAATTTCTAATTTCAAACATTTGTGGTTGAAAAAGATGTTTGCTATGATTTCACTCTTCTCGAATTTTTGAGACTTGTTTTGTGGTTTGACACGTGATCTGTCCTGGAGAGTGTTCCATGTGCATTTAAGAAGAATGTGTTTTCTGTTTTCAGATTCTGTATACGGTTATCCCTTGAACAATACAGAACTAGCAACACCTCCTGCATAGCCAAAACTTCATGTTAATTTCTGACTGCCCCCAAAATTACCTATTAATAGCCTACTGTTGACTGGAAGCTTTACCGATAACATAGTAAATTAACATATATTTTGTATATTGTATATAAATATTTATTGGCTTCCTACTTTATTTTATTTCCTATACATTTGGAAACACTGCAGTGTGAACAGAGTACTCAGCAAGAAAGACCCAGTCCCTACCTTCTTAAAAAGTTATGGTCTTAATAGGAAATGCTGCTGACATTAAGGAAGTAATAGAAATGTGTTGGATTTTGTGAAAGAAAAGCACATTTCCGGGGTACCTCACCCAGTTAGAAAGGAGAAAATGTTAGTCACCTCATGTTATCAGTATACCTTCACAAATGTTAATATGTGACTTTTGGTTTTCTTTTCAGTTATCCCCTCTTAAGTCACTTTTCCAAAATAAATTTTAATCTAAAAATTCTTCCTTAGCTCTTAAATTGTAATTTATTTAATTAGGTTGATTAACTCTTTTTATTTGACATTATTTGGTGTAAAGAATACTGAAAAATAGTTTGTTGTTTACAGACAGAGATTTCCACAGTGAGAGTAATTACAATTTTTTTAAGTTTATTTATTTTGAGAGAAAGAGTCCCTATGTGTGCGTGAGTGGGAGAGAGGCAGAGAGACAATCTTAAGCAGGATTTGCACTGTCTGTGGGGAGCCTGATGCAGGGCTCGAACTCACAAACCGTTAGATCATGACCTGAGCTGAAATTGAGAGTCGGAGGCTTAACTGACAGAGCCACCCAGGTGCCCCAAAAGAGTAATTATAAAAACATAGTGTCAGGGATTATTTTTATTGTGTGGATTAGGACATTAGGTACATTTAAATCTAGGAAAATTAGGCACCTGGTACTATGATGTCTGTAAAACATAACTGATGGACAGAATATAATTTATACTCTTTGGGAGATAAACCGTGAAGTATGAGTTACATTGGTTTTATAAATATGTTCTCGAAATTATCACCCAGAGGAGCTCTAGTAGCTCTTTGCAGATTTCTTTTGTAGTGGCTGTGATAACAAACAGCAGTGTGAAGTGCAGGGCTTCTACCACAAGGGCTACTCAAAAGGAATTGAACTTCAGAGGAGCCTGGCTCATAATCTCTGCTCTACAGCTTTGTGATATTTAAAAATTGATCACATATATGAGTTATAAATACTATTTTATTTTAAACAGAAGGGTATTTTCCCCCTAATCACAGGTGTTCTTTAAAGAAATTTTCCTATACATTTTGGAAACTTCTACCAGCTCATTTGACCACAAATGGATGGTTATTCAGACATTGACAAGGATCTGTGCAGGTATTTGAAATTATCCTTCTTTATTATCTTTTCTTATTAAGAGATATTTACTACACTCCTATACTAGATGCCTCTTGTTAAAAGTAATATATTTTATTGTTACAGATGCTCAGAGTGTAGTGGATATTTATGTAAACTATGACTGTGACTTAAACGCAGCGAATATATTTGAAAGACTAGTAAATGATCTATCAAAAATTGCTCAAGGACGGGGCAGTCAAGAACTTGGTATGAGTAATGTTCAGGTAGGAACTTTAAAAGCATTTTCAAATTTAAACCTCGCCAAGGAAGAGCTATGTGTTTTCCTTTAAAGATCTTTTTGTTTTATTCTTTTTATGAATTATTTTGTAGGAACTGAGCCTGAGGAAAAAAGGCTTAGAATGCTTAGTATCAATTTTGAAGTGTATGGTTGAATGGAGTAAGGATCAGTATGTGAATCCCAACTCTCAGACAACTCTTGGTAAGGTGGCATTCTGAGTTCTGATTGTTTGTCATTTCAAGTAAGTGATACTTTGGAGAGGATAAGTTCCAGTTGCCATTAGGCCAGTTTCATGACCTCTTTATCCATTTAGCTGATAAAGAAGTATTCTATAGGAGTTAAACACAAGCTTTAGAGTTATGAATTTCCAACCTAGTTCTCCAAACTTTTTTCTTTCTAAATCTTCCTTGAAATACTTTAAATACCACATTAAAGCAAAGCATATTTATGCAACTTAAGTAAAAAATAATTATAGAAGAAACCTATACAAGCCAAGATATTTTAAGAAGATTGAATTGTTCACCTGTGTTTAGCGTTTACCCTTACTAGGAGAAAAGCTCATGCTACAGGTCTACCCTAATATTACATCAGTCAGTAGTCTTTTGAGTGAAAACTATTCCTTGTGAGGCATGAGCTAGAGCAGAAACACAGTGGATACTTAGCACTGCAGTTGCAAAAAGAACTTTTAATGGTGCAGATTATACAGATACTAACTCCAGTGTGTTTTAGTACCAAAGTATATTGTCTGGGATGGCACTTAATATTTTGTTTGTATTGCATAGTTATCTGAGAAGCATTAAAATATCTTGCCTTACTTGACATTTTTTTTAACCTTTTACATTTTCTTCTTTGAAATAATGATTTACTCTATCAGTCTTTCTACTTACAGGTCAGGAAAAACCCTTAGAACAAGAGACGAATGAAATCAAACACCCTGAGACAATAAACAGATATGGAAGTTTAAATTCCCTGGAGTCAACGTCATCATCAGGAATAGGCAGTTACAGTACACAGATGTCTGGCACTGATAATCCAGAACAATTTGAAGTCCTAAAGCAACAAAAAGAAATAATAGAACAAGGAATAGATTTGTGAGTGTCCAATTTTAAGGAGAAATGTTATTGAATATCCTTCTGCTAGTACAGTATCACCCTTTCCCTGGGCTTGTCTACATCTTCAGATTATTTCTGTTCCCTTCTCATTATCACCGTTCATTGACTAGAACTGAGCATAGTTCTACATCCAAGACTTCTATTGGCTCCTTCTGCAGCTCTCCTTGTCTATTGTCGTCTAGCCCAACAGACCCTTATAACGCACATTAAATTAATTTTGCAGCGCGTGTTATATGCCGTTGATGAACCTGTCATCTGTGTAGTGTCGCATTGTTCATTTAGTAGCTCAATTGTAAAATCCCATTTTATTTCCTAAGCAGACGAGAGGTCAAAGATCTTACAGTATGAAACTTCTAATAGCTAGGCAGCATTGCTCTTTTATGTGTTTTATATTTTCTTCAGTTGAGTTACAAATGTGCTACTCTTTTTTTTTTTTAATTTTTAAGAAATTTACTTACTTCTTTTGAGAGAGAGTAAGAGAGTGTGAGTGGGGGAGAGGCAGAGAGATGGAGAGAGAATCCAAAGCAGGCTTTACACTGTCAGTGGAGAGCCTGACACAGGGCTCAATCCCATGTACTGCAAGATCACAGCCTGAGCCAAAATCAAGAGTTGGATGCTAAACCTACTGAACCACCCCCAGCACCTCTACAAATGTGCTACTCTTGTCATTGATCCATGGTTATCAATTTCATTTTTATATGTTGATTAGGTGATAACCTCCATTTCCAGCCTGGCTGCTCTGCCAGACCCAGATCTTGGGAAGTCAGTTTTCCCACTAAGCTTTATGGCATCAGCCTGCTCCTGGACTGTTTCCTTTCTCAGTATTACCATGCTACTTTTTCCCTATAATTACCTATCTCTTTCAAGGAGAAGCTGTAAAGGAAAAGGAAGTTGCTGACATTTCTCCATGAATCTAGCTACTATAAACTGCTAAAAGTTCCCTTGTATATTTACATGGTTTGCTTTTCTACTGGAAAACATTTCTTCCTAACTCTCAAGCAAAAAATTGACAAACTAGATGTATATGTTTTGGTCATAAAATGATAAAATCTTGTAAAATTGCTTTAGGAAAGAGCCATTAATACTTCATTCATTCCAGTTTTTCAGTCAGTATTTATCAAGGTCCCATCTGTTCCTGACATTTTGCAAGGTCCTAGGGAACCTTGATGAATGAAACAGCCATGGCTTCTGAGGGACTCAAGGTCCAGTATGTGTAATTAGATATTCATATTGAAATTCTGGTTTCTCAGCAAACATACATTTGGTGTTTGGAACTGTGTGTCAAGAACCCTGAAGGCACTGGTTCTTGTACTTAAAATTACAGTCTATATATGAGCGATTTATATTTAATTTTGGAATAGTACCTGTACAGTCTGTAACAGTGTGCAAAGCGCTGCCAAGCTCTATTTGAAGTACTTGGGAGTGAGAGGGAGTCGTCATAGGACCTCAAAGTGGAGGTCTCTTTAGTCCCTACCCCCCCTTCAGCCCCTGGACTTGATCTCTGCTTCCTACTTTTATGAGAATGCTTTCATGTCACCGCGCTCCCAGCACACACGTCATGTCACTCATGTCACCGTGCTTCCAGCGCACACGTCATGTCACTCATGTCACCGTGCTTCCAGCGCACACGTCGTGTCACCGCGCTCCCAGCACACACGTCATGTCACCGCGGTCCCATTGTACACCTTCCACAAGTGTTTGTGGCACCTCTCTGTCCTGTTCCTCCTGCCATGCTGACCCATGTCATCTCAGTCTTGTTATGGGCTGTTTATCTCCCGAGTTCTGTCCCTCGGCTCTTTTCTTACCTTGTCATTTCTCCTAGGTTATCATGCTCTTTTTCATGACTTCCGCTACTACGTACGTGCTAGCATGTCCCCACTGCCAGCTGTTACTTTTAACATAAGTACCTCTACTGAAGTCCAGAATCGTGTCTGTAATTGCCTGTGGACAACTCTGTTGGATTTTGCTTAGCTTCTCATACTCAGTATTGTCCATCACCGAATTTATCAGTCTCCATTCTCTCCATAATCAGCTCCCTGATACATCTACCAAAGACAAAAGACAGACAAAAAACTCCTGTATTTTTTGTCTCTGTATTTCTTATTTAGGCTAGTAACCCGGAGGTGCTACTCAGTTTGTAAGCTAGAATCCTGGGAGTTCCTTAGATTTTCCCCTTAGATCTAATCTCTCAGTAAATCCCATTGATTCTACTTCCTAAGTGTCTGTGCCGTTTAGCTCCTCTCTCCATCCCCCACAGTCGTTCCTTTAATTCACACCATCACCATTTGTTGCCTTGACTAGTGCAGTCTTTTAATTGGCCTTTCTTTGGTCTTATTTATTCTCTAGTCTTTTCTCACACTTAGCTAGAGTGGCCTGTCGTGAATGAAAGTAAGCTTCTACTTCTCTCCTCTTCTGCTTTTAGAGAATAAAGTCACAGCTTCTTATAATTGGATATAATACCCTTCATGATACGGATCGGCTGGACTCTAAGCTTCATCACCTGCCACTTCTTTTATCTCATTTCAGCCTTCCAACAATGCAGAGCTGTTGATTGTAACATCATGCTGTTTCATGCTTCCACGTGTTAGTATGACTCCTTCTCTCTAGGATGTTTTTCATACTGTTTATGAACGGTGTAATCATTTTTCAAAGCTAAGTTTCACAGTCACCTTCCCCAGGAAGTGTATCACAACCATCTCTGTCAGTTACTTCCTCTGCTGTGCTCTTACCTTGTGAATACATTAGTTGTTGCACTTTTAATAATATAATTTTTAAAAATCATGTTTATTTTATTAGGGAGAGAGCTAGAGAGCAGAGATTATGCTTATCTCAGTGGAAAACGTTTGATTTTAATTAATGGTATGAATTAGGACAGAACAGGTGATGACATCTCAGAGAATAGCATGTGCAGCAGCACAGAGGAAAGGGACATTTGAGGATTGTTGTTTAGGACGGCAGAGGCGGGCTCGGGGGGCGGTCGCAGGAAACGAAGTGAGAGCATTGTGTTGGATCCAGATTACAGAAGGCCTTATGTTCCATGTAAACAAGGTTTGTCTTGTTCTTCTTGGCTTCAGCATACTATGTATTGAAGGATTTTAGTCATAGTAGCCACAGCACCGGATTTCTGTCTTGGACTGATGTCTTTGCCAGTAGCCTGAAAGATGGGTTAGAATGTGAACAGAAAAAAAGCTAGCAAGACCATTTAAGAACTATTGTAATACCCAGGTGACAGATGATGAGGGACCAAAGTAATTAGTGGTGCAGTAAAAGGAGAAAATGAATGATGTGGAAACAAGAAGGTGACATTTGAACTGGATCTCTAAGCATGAAGGAGAGTTCCACAAAGAATGGAACAGGAAAAAGACATGTAGAGGAAATAGACTGCAGAAATGCGCCATGCTTAGGGAATGAGAATAAGGTATTTGGGAGTAGATGGGTAAGAGGGGATGAGATAAACTGGAGCTTTATTGAGAAAGATTTTGTGTATCAGTCTAGTTGGTTTGGACTTGACTTTGAAAACATTGCTTATGTAGGAATTGTTTCCATAAAGGAAATAATGATGTCAGATCATGTTTAAAACAGTCACCAGAATGAATCAATGAGTGTATGGGGAATAAACCAAGATTACTTGAGCATCGAGGTAAATACATATTTTCAAAACAATTTAGTGTTGATATCCTTACTCAAATTGACCTCTCACATAGTCTGTGAGTTCATAGTCCATATCACTAATAAAGATGGCCTTTTGCTTGAGACTCTTAAAAATAAAACTGTGTAATGTAATAATTTCTATATATTCATGCATTGATTATATTAAATAAAATTTTCTAAGTGGTATTAGAAAATCTGGTAGTTTAAGGTCTTCTTTCCAGGGAAATGCAAATGATTTTCGATTTCTAATGTTTCTATTAACTTTAACATCATCTAGATTTAATAAGAAACCAAAGAGAGGAATACAGTACCTCCAAGAACAAGGGATGCTTGGCACTACACCTGAAGATATAGCCCAGTTCTTACATCAAGAGGAAAGATTAGACTCTGTAAGAGCACCATTTTTTTCATTCTAATCTTTTCTGTCAAATTCCTTAAGTACATAATGATACATAACTCTTTAGCCTTTAAAATGTCCTACGTAGATAATAAAACTTAAATAACCTAGGTGTTCTTAATTTTGCTTTTTAATTTTCTAAACTCAAAAGAATATCTTTTTTTTTTTTTTAAATAAACAGATTTAGTGTGTTTAACTCTTCAGCTTTATGTTTGAAATAGTTAACCCTGTAATCAAAACCTGTGAATCTTACAGATTTTTTTGCTTTTTAAATGTCTCTGTGGCAAATGTAGCATTTCATTAGGTTATCAGTTTTTAATCTTTTGTTCTTTAGACTCAAGTGGGTGAGTTCTTGGGAGATAATGATAAATTTAACAAAGAAGTCATGTACGCATATGTGGACCAGCACGACTTTTCAGGAAAGGACTTTGTTTCCGCCCTTCGTATGTTTCTGGAAGGATTCCGTCTTCCAGGGGAAGCTCAGAAAATTGATCGATTGATGGAAAAATTTGCTGCAAGATACCTAGAATGCAACCAAGGGTAAGCAAGGTTCAGATTCAAGTACTTCTGGGTTACCAGCTATCACTATGCTAGGGAAAACCGGCGGATTCATCATCTCCTGCCCCAGACGTTTTAGATTATCTCCAATCTAGAAGTGAGAGGCGATTTCATAAAAAAGCTGTAGTATGAGCTAAAACATAAATCCTGAAAGAGAAAATTAAGAAGATTTGATTTATTTAAATGCAGCTGTAAAACAATAAAAGTTTATAACATGATATGTTTATTTTTTCAGACAAACCCTTTTTGCTAGTGCAGATACTGCTTATGTTTTGGCTTACTCAATTATCATGTTGACCACAGACCTTCACAGTCCACAGGTACGTGCTGCATGTAACACAGCACACATTAAGTAAGTTCTTTTAATTCAGTTTTTAATCTTGTTTAAATTTTAATTTTAATCTTGTTTAGTGATTAAATACACTAGTTGCGAGTGTTTAATGTGGGGTAGTGTATGTTTTACAAATGCAGTTTCTGGTAATAATTCTAATTACACTTTTAGACATTTGCAAAGTAAGTCTATATTTATCTCATGATTGACAGCTATATAAAGCTTAAGATAAATTTTCTAAGAATATGCATATATTCTTCTGCCTATACTTATTACGACATGGGAAAACACTGTACATAAACCTTATTTTTTTCTTTTAAACATTTCAAACTTAACAGAGTGATTAGTAAGGGAATCCTGCATGTGCCCTCAGCCAGCTTTTATAGTTCTCAACTTATGGCCAGTCCTGTTCCATTTTTACCCTTTCTGTCTCTCCCAGATCATTTTGAAGTACATCCCAGGTATCATATCATTTCATCTGTATGTATTTTAGTGTATATCTCTGAAAGACACACAGTCTATTTAAACATAACCACGCACAAAAAAATAAACATAACCACAATACGATTACATCTAAAAGTTAACAGTTTTAAACTATTAGATATCCAGGCAGTGTTCAGACTTCATTTGTTTCTTAAAATTCATAATTCCTTCTTAAATATTAGGGTACTGGCACTTGATTTCTGATATTCATTAACAAAAAATTTATTTTTAAAGTTTTTAGGTATCTCAGGCTTAGTTTCAAAAACATGCTTTGAATATCTTTGGGGAAAAATTATCTTTATAAATTATCTATTTGCAAGAGTTTCTTTGTATTTATGGCATCTAATGTTATCTGTTATTCTTAGGAAGTGAAATAAACTATTACTAATCCAAGAGGTATTAGAAAAATTAAAATTTATTTAAAGGTTGAAATTAAATTTTGCAATATAGGGATTTTGTGTGTGTGTGTGTGTGTGTGTGTGTGTGTAGTTTAAGGCAAGGTTAATATGGAAAATAATATCAAATATATGAACGGGGATTATATACAGAGTTACCTTCAACAACTATGCATTTACCAGGGATTTACTTGATTTTATATAGACCTTTCCTAAAAAGTCATTTAATATTTTAATCGTTTAAAAATTGCCTTTGTTATATTGCTGGCAGTATGGTTAATGTAGCTCACTTTCAGGTTTTTATTATGCAGCATACTTTTTTCCCATGGTGTTATAAGGCTGTCTATAGATACTGACTTATTTGAGTATCTTCCTTTCACAGTTTTCTGTCTAGTGTTTTGGTCCAAACCAATACATTACTTCCATTTGTATGTATGTATGTATTTATTTAATTCCTGAGAGAGAGAGACAGCATGAGCAGGGGAGAATCTGAAACAGCCTCCAGCCTCTGAGCTGTCAGCGCAGAGCCCGATGCGGGGCTCAAACCCACGAACTGCGAGATCATGACCTAAGCGGAAGTCGAACACTTAACCGACTAAGCCACCCAGGCGCCCCTAGAATGTCATATTTTTAAACAATTTGGTTCTGTCATTGTTCTATGCATCTGTGTCACATGTACATTCTTGTGTAAGTTATTTTGCGGAAATACTAAAACTTCCTTTAATGTCCTTTCATAGAACCTAGATTGTTAAAAATTTCTGAGCACAGATTAGTTAGGAAACATCTTGAGAACAGCGTTCTGTGTCCACAGACACAGGAACGTGTGTGTGGAGACCTGGTCTAGCAGTGGTACCTGCTTGTAGTCTCCCCTCTCCGTGTGGGACTTACAGAACAGCTTATGAGTTTCTGTGAAGGAAAATTCAGTTAGAAAATTGAACTGGGAGTTCCTGGGTGGCTCAGTCGCTTAAGCATCCAACTGTTTGTTTCAGTTCAGTTCATGATTTCACAGTTTCATGACTTTTGAGCCCTGCGTTGGACTCTGTGATGGCAGCGTGGAGCCTACTCGGGATTCTCTCTCTCACACTCTCCCTCTACCCCTCCCCCACACGCACTGTCTCCGTCTCTCTCAAATAAATTTATAAACTTAAAAAAAAAATTGAACCCCTAATCATGACTCCATATCATTTGATTCAGGACCACATAAACTATAACAAATGACATCATTTTTAAAGAACACAGGTAACGTTAAAGGAATTCCTTAAAACTAATTCTTCTCATTTTTAGTTGTTTTTCATAGTTAAAATATTTAAACAAGTCATTTATGTTCCTTTTTTACCTAGAATATTTATACTCATAAATAGTTAGACTGACTTTTATATATTTTATGAGTCTGAAGTTTTTAAAAATTTGAGGTATACTCAGAACACATTTAATTTTTTCTGTATATTAATCTCCACCATAATAAGAAATTTAAATACTAAAACGAAACACGGCTTAATTTAAGCACATGAAAACAAAAGTCAGGAGTGGGGTGTTTGGTAAAAGATAAGCAGGATTGTGTGTTATCCTCCTTCCAGAATCCCACTGTGCCAGAGTCGTTCTGGTGCAGCAGTGTGTTTTTATTTGGGGTACCTGAAATTCATGTATTCCCTACTGCCACTCCACCTCCCAACCCAGAGCACAAGCATACTCTATCGCTACTTTGGATTTTTTACCAAGACTTCTTTTTGTCTCTGGTACAATACTAAAACAATGTGCCATGCTTAAGATTTCCAGGTAATGTTTCTCTTTTTTAACCTCTTATTGGCAGCACTTATATAGCCTTTTATTTTAGTAACTCTATGTCATTGTTACTTACTATTTATCAGAACTTAAGGTGAAACAGCTCTTTTTCTTTTTTTGGTGCCGACTCCGATGAGGTGTGTGTGTTTTTTTTTTTTTAATGTTTATTTTTGAGAGAGAGACAGAGACAGAGCATGAGCAGAGGAGGGGCAGAGAGAGAAGGAGATGAGTCCAAAGCAGGCTCCAGGCTCTGAGCTGTCAGCACAGAGTCCGATGCGGGGCTCAAACCCACCAACTGTGAGATCATGACCTAAGCCAAAGTCAGACGCTTAACCAACTAAGCCACCCAGATTCCCCAAGATGAGTTTTTAAAGTTACGACTTTCTTCCTTTCTATGTATCTGATAAATTTACTAGGAAGGGCCTTATTTTTAGAGTTGCCTTAAATTCTTCATGGGAGATGGTAGGAATATATTTCATTACATATGTGTACACACACACATTTAAATAAATTAAGTAAAGAATGTTTTAACGTACTTCACATTATTGCATTTTGTAGGTAATAGTATTTTTTACAAATTGAAGGTCTGTAGCAATCCTGCATCAAGCAAGTCTGTCAGCACCATATTTCCAACGGCATTTGCTGATTTCATGTGTGTGTCACATTTTGGTGATTCTTGCAATATTATCAAACTTTTCACTATTACTACATTTGTTACAGTCATCTGTGTTCAGTGTTTATGACTTCTTGAAAGCTGTGATGAGGTTTAGCATTTTTTAGCAATAAAATATTTTTGAATTAAGATATGTACGCTGTTTTTTTTAAGACAATGCTTAATAGACTATAGTGTAAATATAACTTTGGTGTGCACTAGGAAACCAAAAAATTAATTTGACTCATTTTATTGTAATATTCACTTTATTGCGATATTCTGGAATGAAACAAACACAGCCTATTAACTTCTCTGGGTTTTGTCCATCTGGGGTTTTGGAGATAAAAACATTTTGGTGGTGCTAGTTCTCAGGTTTGGTGACAGGGCTCCATCTTACAAATTACAAGCTTGTGCTCCACAGACTGCTGAAGGTATGCTGTAGGACACTCCTGGTCAGGGCACTCTTAACAAGACAAAATGTTTGAAGGACACTTCACGCAGATCACCTAACCTCCATTTACCACAATGAGTCAGTCACAGAGACTATTATGTGATTTAAATAAATTCGGTTGTTACTTTGCATCCACTGTTATAGAAAAGTAGTTTTTAAATCTTTACCACGTATTTCTGTTTTTCTGAACTAAGATTTAAATCTTTTTGATACCGTATGTTTTTAATACTTGTCATGGTCCTTTTTTAAAGACTCTAGCTAGAGCTCTTAAACCAGGGGCAAAAACAAGTAATTTCATTTTTTTTTTTTTTTAATATTTTTTTTATTTATTTCTAGGAGAGAGAGAGAGACAGCATGAGCAGGGGAGGGTCGGAGAGAGAGGGAGACACAGACTCTGAAATAGGCTTCAGGCTCTGAGCTGGCAGTCAGCGCAGAGCCCGACGCGGGGCTCGAACCCACGAAACGCGAGATCATGACCTAAGCGAAAGTCGGAGGCTTAACCGACTAAGCCACCCAGGCGCCCCAGTAATTTCATTTTTTGATTTCCCTGTTTCTTATTATAAATTATATATGTGCACATCGGTGCAAAGTGAATTAGCATATGCCAGGATAGGTCTTTTCTGCATTACCTTCATTTTCCATGACTTGCTTTCCTCATTTAAATATGTTTAATTGAGTATTTTCCCTGTCGTGTCCTCAAAGTATTTATAAATTCTTAGAGTATTCAAATTCTTAAAATACGAGTTTTAGGAATAATAATGTTTTTTCATTTCTAGGTTAAAAATAAAATGACAAAGGAACAATACATTAAGATGAATAGAGGTATCAATGACAGTAAAGACCTTCCTGAAGAGTATCTGTCAGCCATCTATAATGAAATAGCTGGAAAAAAGATATCAATGAAAGAAACAAAAGAACTAACAATTCCTACAAAATCAAGTAAACAAAGTAAGTATCCAAATCAACTGAATTCTGATTGTTCAGGAGGAAAAATACAGTTTCCTAAGAGTTTTTCACTTGGTTTAGAGTAATTCAAATACTATTCTAATGAAAAGTATTATACAGTTTGCTGATGATTTTATTTTTTTCCACATTCTGAATAAAGATAGCACTGACCAGTGATCAACAGAAAATGCTACATAATATGCATGATTTAGCATGCATTTACTACAGACTTGTCAATTCAGTAGTAAATCTCAGCATGGATTTGGAGATCAGTGAGACTGACTTCAGCTCTCAGTCTTCTCCTGCCTCCTCTACAAGCAGCACAGGTCTGCGATTCAAGGAGATGGGGAAGGTTAGGGTTAGACTTCACATTCCCTTCCTCTCACCAGCCTCTGGCTACCACCAGTCTGCTTTCTGTTTCTATGGATTTACCTACTCTGGATGCTTCATATAAATGGAATCACACCTTATGTGACCTTTTGTGTCTGGTTTTTTAAGACTATAATTAGTATTAATTGGTGGCACTTATTTTATAGTAAAATATCAAAACATTTTAAAGTGACTTATTTTTTAAATGCTGATAGTATTTGTTGTTTCAGATGTAGCCAGTGAAAAACAAAGAAGGCTTCTGTATAATTTAGAAATGGAACAGATGGCCAAGACAGCAAAAGCACTCATGGAAGCTGTGAGCCATGTTCAGGCACCTTTTACAAGTGCAACACATTTGGAGCATGTGAGGCCTATGTTTAAGGTAAGAGTTACTAATAACTTTTTTTTTTAATGTTTATTTATTTTGAGAGAGACAGAGTATGTGAGAGAGGGAGAGGGAGAGTAGAATACTAAGCAGGCTCCTCACTGTCAGTGCAGAGCCTGATGTGGGGCTCGATCTCACGAACCATGAGATCATGACCTGCCAAAATTGAGAATCAGATGCTTAACTGACACCCAGGTGCCCCAGGAGTTACTAATAACTTTTGATTGCAGTATACATTTATGTATAATTTTGTTCAGCATGTTTTTAAGTGAAGAAAGTATAGCGATCTAGCCCATTAGTGTTGACCTACAAGCAAAAGCAATGTTATTTAGGATCTAGCAAATAAAAATTTTTTCTTAAAGAGAATGAGAAAAAGCATACACTAATGGCAGTAATAAATGTGACCTTAAGAAATAAGACTAGAAAAATTTCAGAGAATAATCATTAATCCTTGGCCTGGTTTTCTTTAAATGACATCTATTTAATTAAGACTTTGGAGTTACCTGAAATTTCTTGAGCCTCTGGTCCAGGATCTCATATGTGGGTTCTGAGTACACCTAGAGCTTAGAGAGTAGAGAGAGGAACAAAAGCCTACTCTTTCTTCATTTTCCTGTCCTGTATTCCTATCCTTTCTCCAAATTGCCGAGTAAGTAAGCAGTGATTAAGGATTATAGGGAAATAGAGAATCTAGTCAAATTTGGAAAAGGAAAAGGGGTAAAGTACATTCTGATTCGTGAGACAGTGTGGGAAGATTGTCTGTGGAAGCTTAAGATCGTAATTTGAGTTCTTATTCGGACATTAAGTACACATATGCATGGGCAGTAAAAGGTGACTGCAAGATTTCTGTGCTTTCTTTTAGCTCTCAAATTTTATCATTCCGCTCCTACTTCATGGTCTATGGGATAACTTTATTTCTGAAGTTTGAATAAGAACTAATAGACTGCAGGGGCTAGGAAGGCATTATTAAATAGCGGAGTGCAAAAAATAAATAGCCGTATCTTTGGAAATAATAAAATGATGTTAAAATATAAGAAACACTTTATTATGATATATTTTATACACCAGCTTCTCATTTTGTTTTGAATAATCTTACACTCTTATTTTTCTTCTCAAATGTTTTTGGTTGAGGGGAGGTCTACCTCCCCTCAATGAATGAAAAGAGAAGGAACTAGCCATAATTCTGTCACTCAGAGAAAACTTCTGGTAATATGTTTATATACTACTTTTTTAAATCTTAATTGAACAGTTGTAATCATACTATGTTCTGAGTTACACCTAGAGTAGAATTTTATATCTTGCTGTTTCTCATATATTTCTCTATATCATTAAAAATTCTTCATAAATAGCTTTTATTATCTGTGCTCTAGATTACTAGTTCTAGTTTAGGTAAACATCTTCTAAGCTAGAATTAAGAATCTTTCCTTTTACCACCATTTCTACTGCCATTAACCTCTTCAGACACCCTCATTTCTTACCCTTACTATCATAGTACTAGTCCTAACTAGTATCCTTATGTCCATTTTTGTGCTCCTCTTATCCATTTACAGAGGTCGGACTGATCATTTTAAAATACAAAATGTTGGGGCGCCTGGGTGGCTTAGTCGGTTAAGCCTCCGACTTTCGCTTAGGTCATCATCTCGCGGTTCGTGGGTTCAAGCCCCGCGTCAGGCTCTGTGCTGACTGCCAGCTCAGAGCCTGGAGCCTGTTTCAGTCTGTGACTCCCTCTCTCTCTGACCCTCCCCTGCTCACACTGTCTCTCTCTCTCTCTCCTAGAAATAAAATAAAAAACATTAAAAAAAATTTTTTTTTTAAATAAAAAAAAAAAAGAGGAAGATGGTGAGGTTCAGAGAGATTAAGTAAGTTGCAAAGCTAGGATTAGAAGTTAGGTACTGTGTCTTATGTTCCTTTGTTTAGGGATTATACACTTCTAAACTTTCTGATGTTAAAAACACAGCTTTGGGTAATCCCATTTTCTTTAATAATAATAGTTTTAAAAACTTTTTAGACCCTGGGGTGCCTGGGTGGCTCGGTTGAGCATCCAACTCTTGATTTTGGGTCAGGTCATGGTCCCAGTGTCATGGGATTGAGCCCCATATTGGGCTTTGTGCTGAGTATCGAGCCTACTTGAGATTCTCTTTCTCTCTCTCTTAGCCCCTTTTCCTCACTCACGCACTCTTTCTCACTCTTTCCAAATAAATATTTTTTTAATTTAAAAAAAATGTTTAAATAAAAACTTTTTAGATCTTAAAAATTCCAATTGTCATTTTTACAGCACCCTGGTATATGGTCATAGTTATATGGATACATAGTTTTGCTTCACTAGAACTTAGTAAGAGCACCAAATATTCACATTAGACATTTCAAAGTTACACATGCAAGCACACACCAACGTATACATACCTTTTTTTTTTTTTTTTTTTTTTTTTGTTGAGAGAGACATAGAGACAGCATGAGCAGGGGAGGGTCAGAGAGGGAGGGAGACACAGAATCCTAAGACACCCTCCAGGCTCTGAGTTAGCTGTCAGCACAGAGCCCGACGTGGGGCTCGAACCCATGAACTGTGAGATCATGACCTGAGCCGAAGTCGGACGCTTAACTGACTGAGCCACCCAGGCGCCCCATATACATACATGTTTTGATATTAGGATTTTCAGTAGTCCAGAGGTAGCTCTTTCTGTTTATTTTACATTACAGTTTTACTAGGTATTGAGTGCTACTAGTAAAATTTAGTGTTTGTTGGTTTTCAGAGTCTGTAATGAAGCAATATTTTATTGAACTGTATTTTTAAAGTATTGCCCAACTAGGAACCAGAGATATCACTGATGTTTCAATGTAAAACATTTTACTACAAAAAAAGTAAGGCTAAATGATGTCCAGGGAGCAGGTTAAAAGAAAGAAGAGTACTGTAATTGTTGCAAGGAAAAAATGACTGAAAAGATCTGCTTAGAAATAAACAGTCTGTGAGATGCTGCAGGGGACAAAGCTTGTGGAGAGAGAGGGGTTCTGAAGGTAAAGGTAAAACTAAAACCATTTCTGGATATTGACAATTCACATTTTTGATTGATGTGAATAATTCATAGGTACTATGCTTAAAATTTGTCTAAGGTTCCCTTATTTGGGCCCAGGCAACATTGCATAGTTTTTCCCCTTTGTCCAAGAAAGCTGGAAATATGCCCAGGAATTCATTGCTTTTTGTCCCCTGAACATCCTCAAATCATTTATTTTCTGAAGCTTTGAGAAATATTAATGTAGTCCTGTCATAAAATTTAATTATCACTTGATGTTCATGATAACAGCTTAAATTTTTAATTTTTCTAGTTGGCTTGGACACCTTTTCTGGCTGCGTTTAGTGTGGGTCTGCAAGATTGTGATGATACTGAAGTAGCCTCTCTTTGCCTGGAAGGTATAAGATGTGCAATCAGAATTGCATGTATTTTCAGCATTCAGGTAACAAAGAATTTTGCCTTTGTAGCCAGTCTGGGAAACATAAATTACTTATGTTATGACTGTAGTTGCAATTATTTTTTTCTTATGTCTGACTTACTAAAAACTAATTTCAAGTTTATGATGGAATTTAAATGATTCTTAATGTTTAAGTTTCCAAGAAACTGTTAACAGGAGTAATTCTATATTGATGTGTTTGGAATTCATCAAAATAGATTTGGTTTGCAATTTTTTCTCTATAGAATATTAGCTATATACAGAGTTTCCAAGACTTTGAATTTCTATATGTTAATTAGAATATCTTATTTAAATGTGTTGCATGTCCACACTTAATGAATCATGTATTTTTATATTTATGTTTTTATGTATTACTTTATAACTTCACTAAGCCTAAGAAAAGTTATCTTGAAAAGAACCAAAATAGCTAGTATTTGTTTTTCATGAAGACAGGCCCCTCTAGTAATTTATATATGTTGTCTGATAACAGATTTTAGCCAACGCTTGCTTTTCTTTTTATTAAACCTACTTCACATTTAATGATGAATGTTATGTCTTAAAAAGCACAGCCTAGCTATAGAAAAGAAATGAGGAAATTTATAAACCTGATTTCTGCTAGTCCACACAGTACTTGAAACATAAGTACTCAATATTTTTTTTACTCCATGAATTCATTTTTATCACTAAAATCTCATCATGATTTGACATCTCCATTGCTTTTAGATTTTAGTAATTCATCTTTTCTACTTTATTTTCCATCTTTAAAAAAAAAAACAATGTAGTTTGAGGCATGTGATTTGTCAGTTAAAACTTACTAAAACAAACATGTTAAGTGTACTTTTTTCTTTATAGCTGGAAAGAGATGCATATGTCCAGGCACTAGCAAGATTTACCTTACTTACAGTGAGTTCTGGTATTACTGAAATGAAACAGAAGAACATTGACACAATAAAAACGCTTATCACGGTGGCTCATACAGATGGAAATTATTTAGGAAATTCATGGCATGAGGTATAAGCACTTTATTTTTTTCAAGTTTTCAATTTGGTTTATAAAATGATTTAATGTTAAATATTCTACTGACATGCTTAAGTGGGGAAAAATTAATATAGTACATTCAGGATGAGTTTATTTAGCTTTTTATAATGATTTATAATGTACTCTATTAAATATTTATATGTATATAAATATACATTTTTTTGTTGTTGCAATGAAGATTCTGAAGTGCATCAGTCAGTTGGAGCTTGCACAACTTATAGGAACTGGAGTGAAACCTCGATACATTTCTGGAACAGTACGGGGCAGAGAAGGATCTCTTACTGGAACAAAAGATCAAGCTCCTGATGAATTTGTGGGTCTTGGGCTAGGTGAGATAAATTTTTAAATTATTTTTATGAAGTATCAAAAATTATTAACTTGTTCAATATAAGTAACTTTATTATAGCAGTGAAATACAGTTAGAGGAACATGATAAAATGCCCTTTGGCTAACCTTTGAGCAAAAGCAAGAAGACCGTGTGGAAAACTAAACCATTTTTGCCTGGTCTGGTTTGCAACATAAGTGACCCGTAGTCTTAATCTTATAGTTGAGGGTAGGAAGAGAAAGGTGCCGTTTCAAATGACCTGTTAAGACTAAGAAGGTAACTTAAATGAGTGAAGGTTTGTGTAAGATGATAAATTGTTGGGGCAACTGAAGAAAGCACTCATATTCAGACTTATTTTTAAAGGCACTCATATGCAGACTTAACCAAACTCACACTGGTATGGAAACTTTCCCATGGTTACTTGTGAGCTAGGTGTAGCCAAGAACTTCCAGGTTTAACCCAATAGAACAAAGGAAAATAATTAGTGAAAATGGCTACAGAAGAACCAATGGCAGTATATATTTTAGTCATAAATGGAAAGTTTCACCGGGGAAGAAGCAACATTTAAACTGTCTTTGACTTTGAACTATATTTTGGGGTTTGAATTCATTTGTATTTTTTCCTTACTGTTTAAGTTACTTTAACTCTCTGAGCTTCAGTTTCCGCTTCTGGGAACTAATGGTGATATCTGCGTACAGAGTTGTTAGGATTAAATAAGAATATGTGTAAATGGACTTAGCACAGTGGCTGGTATATTAATGGTTTCTGGATTGTTCTTTATCCATTTTCCCCACCCTGTTTCCATTCAAGAAACCTGGAGACCTGACTTACAGACACCAGGAGAGAATACACCTGAGACCTAGGAATATTTACCTTTTAAGATTTTGTGCTGCGGTGCTGTATTTCTGGGTGTTGTCTATCTTTTTTATTTTTAGTGATTTCTATGTTGTTACTCACAGTAAAAATTCTTAGGAAATCCAAAAGAGCTTCAGGTTTGAAAAAATGATCCATAGGGAAAGAAAAACACCAGAACCATGTTGTGGATCAAGTTGGACTGGGGACAGTTAGTTTCCAGTGATATTTCAGCTGTGGCAGCCAGCAGTGCAGTTCTGATACCCTAGTTGTGTCTTAGATGCGGTGGTGCTGTGAGGCGAAGGTATAGATCTGATAGCTTGGTGACCCAGCAGCAGGATATAGAACCGCCTGAGTACCTTCATGGTGACTTTTATAACCTAGAAGCCTGAGATACAGATGAAAGATATTTACCAACAGATGAAATGAATGTGGACTGATTGTTTCAGTAACTTTTGAAAAGGCCTTTGGAGTGTAGGAAGGCTAGAATAATGACAGGTGCAAATTGCCAGGGCTTAATTTAGGCGAGTAACAACAGTAGGTTGCACTAAAAATAAAACACCAGTGGAGTACTTGAACTTCTAAAAGTTTTAGTCAAACAAGAGAAACAATGATATTTGCTGATAGTTTCCTAGTATACTTGAAAGTGAATTAAAATGAATTTGATCACTATTATTATGCTACCTAAGTCGTGCAGATATTAGATGACCTGCCTTCTCACTTCAGGAAAAGAGAATTTGCATAAAAATTCCTTTGGTTCTGGAAATGAAATAAAAATTTTAGGCTTCCAAACCATACTCTTCAAGCAACTAGCCATCCTCCTCCAGCTGTCTTTCATGCTTTATCTGTTTTTCTTTTTGGGCTGCTCCATTCTCTACTCATTCCTGATGGATTAGCTTTCTCATTTTTGAGCCTGCATGCTAGAGGGATCCAGTCTGTTGACTTGGCCTGTGTTGGGCATAGTCCTCCCTTGAGGCCACCTCATTGGTTATCAACGAGCCCAGTGTGGCAGATGTCCACCCCTGTCCATCTGTGCCCTGTCACTTGCTCAGGCAACAGATGTTTTCTTCAGCAGGATGCTGTAGTCAGAATTTACGCTAGAAGGGGATGTAGTACAGACATTTGAGCAAGTTTTATCTATATTTTTAAAAAATAAATTAGTATCCTCCTTTATTGATAGCATCCCTCTGCAAGTATTTCATGTAACCACATTAACAGGGCTGAGTATATGTTAATCTGATTTTCTGACTGATATACTACAAGTCTGAATTTCATCCTTTTTGGAAACATGAAACTTTTAGTTACTAAGAATACGTAGCATATCGGGGCACCATATGCATCCAGTTAGCATCCAACTCTTGATTCCAGCGCAGCTCAACGATACTATGGTTTCATGAGTTCGAGCCCCATGTTGGGCTCTCTGCACTCACTGAGGGGAACCTGCTTGGGATTCTCTATCTCCCTCTCTGTCTGCCCCTCCCCCACTCACACTGTCTCTCTCTCTCAAAAATAAACCTTAAAATCTTTTTTTAATTCACCGACATGGTCATATAAATCTTAAGTAAATATTCACAACATCTACCTCTTTGTTCTTAGTTAATCCAAATATTTGTGCTTTTGAGCAATTTGTTTGGTAAAGCTGAAACTCTTAGCCTGTAACTTACAGTGTCATACAGATCTTTGATTTCACGTGTTTTGAAATAGGTTCTTTGGATTGCTAAACATTATGTATTTTTTATTCCTCTAAATATGTTTATTACTAATGATTAAAGGTTATTATATAATAATAAAAGCTCTTAAATATAAAAATAAAAGCTTTCCAGGAAGGACATGCAGATGATACACAAAAAAAAAGCTATGTGTGATTGGCATTATTTTTTCCCATTGAGTTTTCTTTGTTAAATTCTTAAAACATGATAGCATGCTTCAAGTGTTGCTTGACACTATTTCCCTAATCACCCCAGTTCTCTGTCACTTATTTCAGGCTTTCATCCTTGTTCATTTGTATTATAGAAATAGACTCTTAATTTGTCTTTCTAGCTCCATTATCTTTTCCTGTTTCACTGTGTTCTACAGATACTACCAGAATTTTTTTTTAGAGAATAGATTTGATCATGTGGTCTTCTGAAAGGTCTGTTCCGTATTTTCAAAGGCAGTACGTTAAACATGACAGTCAAGGGTTCTTCACATTCTAATTTTAGTCCATTACTCTCCCTGTTTCTTGTCCCCTGCCAGAGCCTCCCTTATGGCTATAACCAAGTATGTTAAAACATGGTATTTACTTGCATCCTTCCAGTATGTATGCTGCTCTTTCTACCTGAATTACTTTTCCTTTTGCCTCCTTTCCTGCATGATCATCCTTCTAGGTCCAACTTGAAATAATAGGTCATCATATGTGAAGCCTTTCCATGAGCTAACATCCCCGTTCTCCCTCCTCCTATTAAACTTAGTTCTGTTTAGCGAAACATGTATTATTTGTCATTAGTTTATCTCAGCCATAAAGTAATTATTACATTTTACTAAAGTTGGTTATAAGTCTATCTCTCCTGGTTAATTCTAAAATAAACTCTGTGAGGACAAGGGTCACGTCTTTTTCATTGTTCAATTCCTGGAAGAACATTTGAGTTTGGGTGCCTTAAATAATATCATCTATTATGGTTGATTCATAAAGGCATTTATTAAGTGTTTGGTCATTTGAGTCAACAAATATTTATTAACACCTGCTTTGGAGTTAATATTGAGTAAGGTAGAGAAATCACACACACACAAAATGTGTATAACTTGGTTCCTTGCCTTAGGGAACTTCCTGTTGTGCTGAGAAGGCAACATTAACACATCTATAGTAATTAGGTGAAACTGTATGGAAAAAAACCCTGATTTGACTATTACTTATTTAAGTAAATGCTCATTTCAGAGGAACGATGGGATGGAATCCCTCCTGAAAACTCAAATTGGGTTTCAGTAGTAAGTTTTAGATAGTTGAGGGATGGCCTGAACAGAGACATATAATGGCTAGAATGTTAAAGAGTAATGCATTACATGCTAGGCTTAAAAAGTTTGTTTTATCCTGAAATTAATAGTAAGCAAAATGAATATGATGGTTTAGAAAAATTAACCTGATAGGAGACTGAAAATGAGGTTGAAGAGGGGAAAAATTAGCAGCAGGGAAAGCAGTCAGTAAACTGTGTCTGTAATCTGGGTCTGAAACTATAAGGGTCTGAACTGAGTAGGAATGAAAATGAAGGAATGATACCAAAAACAGGTCAAAAGAAAGATTTAGTAATTGGTGGAGGAGGGGAAAGGTATCCGAGGTGATTGTGAGGTTAAGAGTTTGGAAATTGGGGAAATTGTTCTGCTGTCCAACATATGAGACCAGTTTCTGAGGGAAAGAGAAAAGATTCTTTTGAATAAGGGGGTGTTAGAAAATACAGGTTAAGTTTCCAGTAAGTGTCTGTAAACAGAGGACTGGAGATTAAATGACAGGGAGATCCAGTCATGTGGCATTGGGAATCAAACTACGAAGATAACATTGGAAGTGCATTTAGTGTTGTTTCTTCAACATTAAGGGAAATTGTGCTTAGTATGATTAATTTTGTGATCTAAATTCTCAGTGCCCTTAATTTGTTGATCTTTGCAAGTACAATTTATCTTTATAACCATCCTTGTCTATAAGCCACTTAGTATAGCTTAATGAAGCACATTTGGCTTTGATACAGGTCTCTGATGCCAAGTAGGTCACTACTCACCAAAAGCTTTACTTCTCTCATTAGGAAGATAACTGATTTCAGAAATATATTTTAAAACTGTAGGTATATTCTTCCACTGAATTATTTTCAAACTGAAATGACTCTCTTTTTATGTGTGGTAGTTGGAGGAAATGTGGACTGGAAGCAGATAGCAAGTATTCAGGAATCCATTGGAGAAACCAGTTCTCAAAGTGTTGTTGTTGCTGTAGATAGGTAAGGTATTTATTTTATTTCCTTTTTGAATGAATACTATTTTAATTCTGTAACATTTAGATATATATTGCTAAGTAGTAGTGAAAAAAAACTATTGCCAGAATAACGTTCCTTAAGCAGTATAAGACTGTATTATGATATACTGTGATTTAGATGATGAAATACCCATAATTTTTCTCTTTAGTTCATGGAATATAGCAAGCAGAGAAACAATATGAAAATTTAACTTAAAATAGATATTACTGGGCATTAGGAAAATGGTAATCTTGATGAAAAAGAACACATGTTATGTCTTCTATAGAAGACTAATTGCTCTTATTATCCCTGTATGAAAATGGAATGTAAATTGTCTTTCAAGTCCTATTTGTTGTAAGACTGCATTAGGAATAAATGAAGGATTTGGTGACAATTTTCATTGCAGACTTCTTTGGAAAGTACTTTGGAATTTGTATGTTATATACATTACCAGGTATTCTTCATAGTTAGTTTGTTTTCTAACAGTAAACCCATACTAAATGTTCTTTTAAAGGTTAGGTTTTTCTAGAGAAGTGCCCAAATATTTGAAACTTAATATTTTACAACACTGATATTTAGATTTTTTTTTTATTACTTCTGATGAAACTTTCAAAAATATAGTATGTATATTTTTCTTGGTGCTTGGAGACATACACTAATCCATTATTTTACTTCAGATAAAACTTTTTGCTTTGTGTACAGACTGAACTAGGGTGTTCAGTGGCAACTGACCTTGGAAAATATTCCAAATATTCGCTGCAGCTTTTTCCTTGAAAAAGAACTCTTTAATATTCGCTTGCTGACCTCTTTTTTTTTTTTTTAGGGGAAGAAGGTTATTTGCCTTTTCCTTTTGAGGCTGAAGAAAAATTGTGTATCGTCTTACATGCGCTATATATCTTGGAGGCTTACAATGTGCTTGGCACTTTTCAGAGTCTTTACATGTAGTATTTCATTTAATCCTTCCAGTAACTTTGTGAGATGAGTAATGTTATTGTCCTTAATTTACAAATGAGGAAACTGAGACAGGGGAAGATCGAATAACTTGCTCATCCCCACAGCTAGTCTTGTCTTGATTATTATTGTGATAACCGTTTCATCCACAGAGAATTTAAGGAGTGGTGCTAGGACATACACTCAGGCAGCATATCTCGAGCGTACACTCTTACCCCTCCGCCTCTCTCTCCCTACAGCTGTAGAGCAGTGTAATGTCTCCTGTTCTGCTGTCACAGTAGCTTTTTTCCAAATGATTTTCTTGACTTGCAAAAAAAAATCCTTTTCACTATGATTACGAGAATCTCTTCAGGCAAGAGTCAACATTTTACCTACTATTTGTTTCAACAGTATATTTTATATGACCATATCCAATTCAGATTTACCCATACATCCACTGTTTGTTGCAGGGAGACATGTCTCTCATTCAACAAATGATATGCCTCTCCATTTTAAGAATTTAAGATATTTTAGAGGAGTCTTAACACAAATTCTGTTAGTACTTTGTTGTCTCAAATTCATCATCACCAGATAACTTTTACAACCGTAAATCCAACGTCCAATTTTATACAAAAGCTTAATATTGAAACTTTAGCTCATAGTGAAAGCGTTAAAAGTTACATCTTTGATTTTATTATAAGATTATATTCTTGTGTGGTGCATTTCACTTTCTCATTAAATTTCTTCTGAGTTCCTTTCTAAATGTCTGAGTTTATTTTCACATGTAATATCCTGACTTGAATTCATAAGCCAAGTCCTTTAGATAACCAAGATATTCAAGACAGTGGTGCCAGTATCATCAGGTGGCATCCTGGAAAGTTCTGTGCTTGTCCTGCAAAAAGTGATTTTCTTGTCCTTAGGCCTGTTGTTATGAATAATCTGTGATGACAGGTATAGGAGTAAACATGAAAAATCAAAATAGTTCTTCTTTGCTTCTATTTCTTAACAGAAAACATGTATGATTCTATTAAAAGATTTAAGATGGGTATCTGAATTCCACAAACCTTCAGAAAAGCATTATTCCTTCCAAGGTCTCTAATTTTGTCATGGGGAAGAGACAAAGGACACCCTTTAGAGGATCCACATGCCCTGGGGCATGCAAGTTTCCCTAATGTAAAGGGTTTTAGGCAAATATTCTAGCTATGGTAAGCAAGAAGCGGGATCAAAGCTGTCACACTAAAATGCTGACTTCCAAACTGCCTCTTGGAATGCATTTTTGCCTTTTGGAGAGCATTGCAATGGAGATGGATTAAATTATTATTAAATAGTTATTGTCCCATTCAACCTCAAACATCTCCATTAAAATCTGTGATTTTTTGATTGTTAGCTCTTTGTAACTTGGGCTTTGAATACGTGCTGGAACAAATGATATATGTGAAATTGTTTCATTATAATATTTCTTCTACATAAAAAATAAGGGCTTTTAGATGATAAAATTTTCTGTTTATCTCCACTTTTGTTTTAGGAATCATAAACCATTAGAATTTAGGAGAATATTGGCCTGTTTAATCTATGGTACCTGATCCCTAGGAGTTGCTAAGGTAGAATTTGCTAGACATTGCTAAACTAGACCAATTTAATAAGTATTACTAAACTGCAGGAATAGGTTTTGTCCAGGAATAATTTACTGCTAAAAATTTAAAAATCAGCACCATGGTTTTTGTTTTTATTAATTTTAAGCACACCAAAGCTAGCTTTATACTGGCCCATCTCACACTTTGGAAGATTCTGTCACCTATCAGAAAATATGTCTACCTCATCCTGAACTGTATTTGCTTAAAGCATTTTCCAATTAGGCCTAAGAAATAAGTGTTACCTCTGATGTTTTCACTGTGAGAACTTTTTACATATACAGTAATTTAGTCTGCTTCTTTAGTGCATACGGTTTAAAGTGTATGTGATCCAGAATCTGCAGGTTTTGTCCACTTTTTTTTTGGATTGCCACAGTTTTGTGCCACATTTGCCACAAAATTGCTTTCATTTTGTGGAGGAAGCTGTAATCTATTTCCTTTCCCTCCTCTTACTTTTCATAGCATGTCTTTTAATATTAACACACAAGGTTCTCATGCTTCTGTCCTTTGCTTTTCATACAGGGAATGTAGAGTCCATTTCATAGACTGATTTTGTGAAACATAGTTCTGTTCTCCTGCCTTAGTTTATGAAGGCTTAACTTTAAATGCCTCCACAGACTGCCGTGCTCTGCGGCACGGCTTCTCTGTAGCGGAGCATTACTAGAATTAGAGTGACCCCTCAGAGGCTACCGAAGTGCGTAGGGATTCGAGTGCCCCTTTTCGGGATGCGTGCTTCCCTCACTTCTGCCACCCTGCATCCGTAGAACCTGTCTGGTTGCTGCTGCGGCTTCCCTGTTCTTGTGCACCAGCACTTGAGGGCCTTCGAGGCTTTGTGGCTGCTTTCCCTGTGGTGGCAGTACTCTCCCTTTCTGCTTCTGTTCTTTCCCCTTCCACTCTTCGCCATTTGTTCCTTCTCAGTTGGAAGAAATTGTTTTCTTTCTTTTGTTCCTTTTCCTCTTGTTTCTTCTATGTGCTGTCTACTTTTGTCCTTGTGGTATTTTCTTTAATAGCCATGCCTATGAGAATACCGGTAGTTTGGGAAATCAGCTAATGACATTTATAATGTGCACTCTAGCAACTTTCATTTTTGTTCATGTGAGAACTTTTGTAGGCTTTGTATATTTTTAATTTGTGAATTCAGTCTATCCACTAGATTAAATGGGGACTTATTATTCTACCTTTTCCACCAGATTGTCTTCTCTTTGAAGTTTTGTTTTGTTCTACTGACAAGAGCAATAGAGGAAGTTTTAAAATATCCCTTTAGCAGATCATCAGTTTCTGAGTTATCTTGTCAGTTTTTAGGCTGTTTTTCCTGTTGTGTTTTTCTTACTCATTGCCAGGACATGTGGAAAGACATTCAAGGACACTAAGGTTAAAAAATCATTATATACTCAGAACATGGATATAGTAGACATAATAGGAAAAAAACAATATATTTTAAATGTTAATGTTTTGCTCAGTTAAGTGTGAGGTAATATATAGCAAGGTAGTTAAGAGAATGGATTCTGAAGTGTCCCTGTCCTGGTTTGAATCTTGGCTGTAGCACATACAAGTTCTGTGACTTTGAGGAAGTTATTAAAATATCTTTATGCCTTAGTTTCTATGTTGATAAAATTGGAAGCCTACAAATACCCACTTCACAGAGTATTTGTGATTATTAAATGAGTAGATGTATTTAAAACACTTAGAACAATACCCACCTTGTAATTGTCGGTAGCTATTACTGTCACTATGATCACTTTTATTACTAATTTTAATATTTGACCTGCTCCCACCTTTAAGGTTTCCCTTTTGTCAGTCAAACCCTATGGTCCACAATTTAAATTGAGGAATATCAGTTCACCCTGAAAGTCATATCAAACCCTCGGTTACAAACCTAGAGGATGGGTAAAAATACAGACTTTTAAAACAGGACTGATATAGTAGGTTTATGCTGAAATCTTCTATCGAACTTTGAAACAAAGAAAAATTGCTCAGTGAAGAAAGATGGGCAGTGCTGGACAGCACAGCTTAACTCTAGACATTTGGATTTTCTAAGAAAAGTTATTTATCCACTTCTTGGTTAAACAGTTGGAGACTATTTGCAATCTTATCTTAAATTGCTTGTGATTCAATATATATGAGTTTTTTAATCAAACATATGTTACTTATAAAAACAAAGTAGGATTTTCCATTTTAAGAATGTGTTTAATGCTAGTAGATAATCAGGAAAAATTGAAAAGTCTTCTGTTTTGTAGTGTGCCAATATTCAATTGGTTTTACAAATTGCTATTTTTTTCTTATTCTTAGAGTTTTATAAGATACCTATCTAGTATTTGTAAATTTACTAATGAGATTACAACAATATATTCTTAATCATATAATGGAGTACAAAGGAGAGAGGGAGGAACATCCAAACCATACTTGTTATTAAACTATATGGTAAAATATTCATTTGACTACCTGATGTTTTTGTTCCCTTAAAACAGATTGAAAGTAGCTAGTACCTCAGGCTACTTACTTCTGAATTGATGTAGAAGATGTAAGACTATAAATTTTTGAATTCTGTTTTTTTTCTTCAGAATATTTACAGGGTCTACAAGGCTAGATGGAAATGCTATTGGTAAGCATATACATTTATTTCAATTACAGATTAGTTCTTTGGCTAAAAAACTTGGAAGTTAAGCTAAAAAAATGTATATCTATTTATATTATAGTGGATTTTGTCCGTTGGCTCTGTGCTGTTTCTATGGATGAATTACTTTCCACGACTCATCCAAGAATGTTTAGTCTACAAAAAATAGTAGAAATATCATATTACAACATGGGAAGAATAAGACTACAGTGGTCTCGAATTTGGGAAGTTATTGGTGATCATTTTAATAAGGTATTTGAATAATTATAAGATATACTTACATTTATAATGTTTTTTGTGTTTGGAAATTCCTTATAATATAATTGAGACTTTTTTCCTGTTCTAGCTTTTCTAAATTACATTTTTGTAATTAAAATTAGAAAACCTCTGAATCCATTGCTTTTTAGAAGTGATTGCCCTAAGTTTTAAGAATTTCAAGTATATTTTTCTTGTTGAGAAATATTGTTAGTACACCTAGTGTCTTTGTGGAGAATCTAGGATTTACCTGTCTATGCCAATAGTTCTGTACTTTTTCTAAAACAAAAATGAAGAAATAGATTTTCACTGCTGACATTAGCACCCTATATTTCTGTTGCCATTACAGGTTGGCTGTAATCCTAATGAAGATGTAGCTATTTTTGCAGTAGACTCCTTGAGGCAATTGTCAATGAAGTTCTTAGAGAAAGGGGAGCTTGCTAATTTCAGATTCCAGAAGGATTTCTTAAGACCTTTTGAACATATAATGAAACGGAACAGGTATTATATTTGTTGAATTGCTTAATATCAGAAAAATCCCTTATTATTTTCCACAGCAGGGGGAGAAACAGAAGAAAGGAAAAAAACGGATGGGTTTTATCTGTATGTATATCCAAGCAATGATATTAATATTTTAGGTCTCCAACAATTCGAGATATGGTTGTACGGTGTATAGCACAGATGGTTAATTCTCAAGCTGCTAACATTCGGTCTGGATGGAAGAACATTTTCTCTGTATTTCATCTAGCTGCGTCTGATCAAGATGAAAGCATAGTGGAACTTGCATTCCAAACAACAGGGCACATTGTCAGTGAGTATTCTTCTGGCTGTATTCAAGTTAAAAAAACAAAAGAAAACAACCAACAAAAAACCTTTACTGTGTTCCAGAGATAATACAAGTGTAAGATTATGGACCTGTTATGGGTTTAAGTTTACTAAGTTTTGCCTGTAGAAACAGTAAATACTGACAGTAATACTGTTATTACATTATTATAATGAACATTTATTGAATGTTTACTAGATGGCAAGCACATAAGTACTTTGAATGTGTTTCCTTTAGTCTTCACAACAACTCTGTGAGATAAGTATTTTCATTATCCCTTTTTTAATAGATCAGGAAACTCAGGCCCAGTGAGGTTAAGGTGAATGATGGAGTTGGGATTCAAAGCCAGGGAAAGGTTTGTGACCGCTACGTTACACAGCCTCTTTTGACTCTAAGGGAGAATGAAATACTGAGGATGTAAGTTAAGCCTGATTCAAAGATCATGATAACCATCATCATTTCTTATAGATTATGAAGCTGAAATAAAGATAGGTTAAATATAATTATGTATATTCACTCAAAATCTGTTGATTCAGTACCTACTTTGTACTGTTACTGCATTACGTGCTGGGTTTATAATGTAAACAGAACACAGACCTGTGTCCCTGTCCCCTACTCCTCAAAGCAGTCAAGTAAGTGATAATGACAGACATGAAGCCATGTCTGTCAGACATCGACACCCTTAACCTTTAAGTATGCTTTACATTTAGGGGTTGGTGTTTTTGATGCAGTTAAGAATAATTGAAAAACCATAATTATTTTGATATGTTTTCCACCCTTTTAGCTCTTGTGTTTGAAAAACACTTTCCAGCGACTATTGATTCTTTCCAGGATGCAGTGAAGTGTTTGTCAGAATTTGCGTGCAATGCAGCTTTCCCAGACACAAGTATGGAAGCAATTCGACTTATTCGCCATTGTGCAAAATATGTGTCTGATAGACCTCAGGTATAGTGTCATTTAGTAAACAAAATTTTACTGAGTGTTTCCAGTCTGAGATATAAGTTTATTTGGGAATCGGGGGGATGTGAAGCATTTAATTTTAAGTAAACCCCAAAATTATCTAAGCCTGATTCTGACTTATGTTTAGAAATGATAGCTATCATTTATTAAAGGTGTCAGGTGTTTTTCTGAGTATTTCACATGTATTAACTTGTTTAATCTTGTACATTTTATGGGATAGGTAATGTTTATAGCCCCATACAGATCAGGAATCTGAGGCACAGAGAACTTATAAAATATCTCCATGATTGCAGAGCTAGTAAAGGAGACTTAGGATTTGAACTCGAGCCTGTGTTTTCAGCCATTACTGTGTACTGTTTCTTGCATGTTGTGCTGTGCATACTGAGGTTGACTATCTGTGGATGTATGTAGGCTTAAACACCGAAGTAAAAGGTTGAATTGGTAACGTGGCTGCCAACCTTATCTTATGTGTCTGAACCTGTCTCTGTAACTGTCATCAAGAAAAATGGTACATTACAGATTAGTAGTAAGATTTTACTGCATACTAATTAGGACCTACAGGGTGCTTAGTACTTTTTACATACATGGACCCATTTGACTCTCACACTTCCCAGGGGTGGTTAGTGTGGCTGCATGGTGTCATAACCATGAAGTGATAAAAAAAGAAACTAAATTTAACCTGACGTAAAATGCAGAAAAGCCGTTGACAGAATTGAAGCTGAAACTAACTTTTGGATTCTAGTCCAATGCTGTTTATAAGCAGTTGTAATCGCCGTCTTTTTATAAATGGTTATTTTCAAAGTGCTGACCTTGAATTTGTAAAACATTTAAAAACTTTGGTGAAATACTGTACAGGTGTTATATTTTGCCTTAAGTATATCTACCTTTCTTCTTGAAGGCTTTCAAGGAATACACAAGCGATGATATGAATGTCGCACCTGAAGACAGGGTGTGGGTGAGAGGATGGTTCCCAATTCTCTTTGAGTTATCCTGTATCATCAATAGATGCAAATTAGATGTAAGAACCAGGTAACAATCAGTGTTTGTAACTACAATTTTGGAAGGCTTTTGACTTTCTGACTTAAATTAATTTTTCTTATGTGAACATAGTTCAATAATTACAGGCCCTAAGTCCATCGTAAGTCAGGTGTATTATCAAATACAGCAGTTATTAGATAGGAGCAGCAGTATAATGGAAATATATTACTTTTCCTTAACATTTTGTTACAACATCCTACTTTGAGTTTTAGGTTCTGTGTTAAGTTTAAGTTGTTTACACATTCTATCTTTTCATATGCTTGTTTCCAGTTAGAAATTGAAGTTAATGGCAAAATTTATTTCCTGATGAATGCTAGAAGAATTTCCAAATGCACATACTTGGTGGATTTTAATTTTATTATTATTATTATGTTTTAGTTCTTACTTATTTTTGAGACAGAGACAGAGCATGAGTGGGGGGTGGGGCAGAGAGACAGAGAGACACAGAATCCGAAACAGGCTCCAGGCTCTGAGCTGTCAGCACAGAACCCCAGGCGGGGCTCGAACCCACGAACTGAGAGATCATGACCTGAGCCGAAGTCGGACGCTTAACCGACTGAGCCACCAGGCGCCCCATACTTGCTGGATTTTAGATGGAACCATTTCTCTCTGAAGACTGGTCAGTAACAGAGTTTTGAATAATGTAGGTCTATTAAAAAAGAAGAGCTCTTTCAAAAATACATTCTCATTACAAGATCTATATGAATGTGTAGTCCATTTGTAAAGAAATGATTATGGATATAATGTAACTGAATAAGCATTCAGTATGTAATTCTTAATGTTTCAGCTCCTATCAATCCCATAGTACAGTTTTTATCATAACTACCTTTTTTAAACTTTTTAAAAATAGTTTATTGTCAAGTTGGTTTCCATATAACACCCAGTGCTCATCCCCACAAGTGCCCTCCTCCATACCCCCACCCCACTTCCCTTCCCCCCACCCCCATAAGCCCTGTTTGTTCTCGGCACTCAAGAGTCTCTCATGATTAGCCTCCCTCCCTCTCCCCCACTATTTCCCCCCTTCTTCTCCCCATGGTCCTCCGTTAAGTTCCTCCTAATCCTCCTATACATGCAAACATATGGTATCGGTCCTTCTCTGCCTGACTTATATTGCTCAGCATAACACCCTCGAGTTCCATCCATGTAGCTACACATGGCCTGATTTCATTCTTTCTCATTGCCATGCAGTATTCCATGGTATAGATAAACCACATCTTCTTGATCCATTTGTCCGTGGATGGACACTTAGGCTCTTTCCATGTTTTGGCTATTGTTGATCGTGCTGCTCTGAACATTGGGGTCCATGTGCCCCTATGCATCAGCACTCCTGTATCCCTTGGGTAAATTCCTAGCAGTGCTACTGCTGGGTCATAGGGGAGTTCTATTGTTAATTTTTTGAGGAACCTCCACACTGATTTCCAGAGGGGCTGCACCAGTTTACATTCCCACCAACAGTGTAGGAGGGTGCCCGTTTCTCCACATCCTCGCCAGCATCTAGAGTTCTCTGATTTGCTCATTTTAGCCACTCTGACTGGCATGAGGTGGTATCTCAGTGGGGTTTTGATCTGTATTTCCCTGATGAGGAGGGATGCTGAGCATCGTTTCATGTGTCTGTTGGCCATCTGGATGTCCTCTTTGGAGAAGTGTCTGTTCATATCTTCTGCCCATTTCTTCACTGGATTATTTTTCAGGTGTGGAGTTTGGTGAGTTCCTTATAGATTTTGGATATTAGCCCTTTATCTGATATGTCATTTGCAACTATCTTTTCCCATTCCATCAGTTGCCTAATAGTTTTATGGATTGTTTCCTTTGCCGTGCAGAAGCTTTTAATCTTGATGAGGTCCCGATAGTTCATTTTTGCTCTTGATTCCCTTGCCTTTGGGGATGTGTCAAGTAAGAAATTGCTGCGGTTGAGTTCAAGGACATTGTTTCCTGTTTTCTCTTCTAGGATTTTGATGGTTTTCTGTCTCACCTCCAGGTCCTTTATCCATTTTGAGTATATTTTTGTGTATGGTGTGAGAAATGATCTAGTTTCATTCTTCTGCATGTTGCTGTTCAGTTCTACCAGCACCATCTGTTAACGATGCTGCCTTTTTTCCATTGGATACTCTTTCCTGCTTTGTCAAAGATTAGTTGGCTGTACATTTGTGGGTCCAATTCTGAGTTCTCTATTCTATTCCATTGGTCATTGTGTCTGTTTTTGTGCCAATACCATACTGTCTTGATGATGACAGCTTTGTAGTAGAGGCTAAAGTCTGGATGCTGATTCTTCCCGTTTTGGTTTTTTTCTTCAGTATTATTTTGGCTCTTCAGGGTCTTTTGTGGTTCCATAAACATTATAGGGTATTTTGTTCTAGTTTTGAGAAGAATGCTCGTGCAATATTGATTGGGATTACATTGAATGTGCAGATTGCTTTGGGTAGTAATGACATTTAAACTATATTTATTCTTCCATTCCATGAGCATAGAATGTTTTTCCATTTCTTTGTGTCTTCTTCAATTTCCTTCATAAGTTTTCTATAGTTTTCATCATACAGATCTCTTATATCCTTGGTTAGGTTTATTCCAGGGATTTTATGGTTTTTTGTGCAATTGTGAAAGGGATCAGTTTCTTGATTTCTCTTTCTGTTGCTTCATTGTTGGTGTATAAAAATGCAACCAATTTCTGTACGTTGATTTTATACCTTGCAACTTGGCTGAATTCATGGATCGGTTCTAGTATGCTTCTGGTGGAGTCTGCCGGGTTTTCTATGTAGAGTATTATGTCGTCTGAGAAAAGTGAAAGTTTGACTGCATCTTTGCCAATTCTGATGCGTTTTATTTCCTTTTGTTGTCTGATGGCTGATGCTAGGACTTCCAGCACTATGTTAAACAACAGTGGTGAGAGTGGACATCCCTGTCGTGTTCCTGATCTCAGGGGGAAAGCTCTCAGTTTTTCCCCGTTGAGGATGATGTTAGCTGAGGGCTTCTCATCAATGGCTTTTATGATGATTAAGTAAGCTCCTTCTATCCCGACTTTCTCGAGGGTCTTTATTAAGAAAGGATGCTATACTTTGTGAAATGCTTTTTCTGCATCTCTTGACAGGATCATTGGTTTTTGTCTTTTCTTTTGTTGATGTGATGTATCACATTGATTGATTTGCGAATATTGAACCAGCCCTGTAACCCAGAAATGAATCCCACTTGAACTTGGTGGATAATTCTTTTTATGTGCAATTGAATTCTATTTGTAAGTATCTTGTTGAGGATGTTTGCATCCGTATTCATCAAGAATATTGGCCTGTAGTTTTCTTTTTTTGCTAGGTCTCTGTCTGGCTTGGGAGTCAAAGTGATGCTGGCTTCATAAAATGAGTCTGGAAGTTTTCCTTCGATTTCTATTTTTTGGAATAGCTTGAGAAGAATGGGTATTAATTCTGTTTTAACTGTCTGGCAGAATTCCCCAGGAAAGCCATCTGGCCCAGGGCTCTTACTTGTTGGGAGATTTTTCATAGCTGATTCAGTTTCCTCACTAGTTATGGGTCTGTGCAGATTTTCTATCTCTTCCCGTGTGAATTTTGGTAGTGACTGTGTGTTTAGAAATTTGTCCATTTCTTCTAAGTTGTCCATTTGGTTGGCATATAATTTTTCATAGTATTCCCTGATAATTGCTTGTATTTCTGAGGGATTGGTTGTAATAAGCCCATTTTCATTCATGATTTTGTCTATTTGAGTGCTGTCTCTTTTCTTTTTGAGAAGCCTGGCTAGTGGTTTGTCAATTTTGTTTATTTTTTTCAAAAAACCAACTCCTGGTTTCATTGATCTGTTGAACTGTTTCTTTGGTTTCTATATTGTTTATTTCTGCCCTGATTTTTATTATTTCTCTTCTACTGCGTTTGGGGAGCTCTTGTTGCTCTGCTTCTAGTTCCTTTAGTTGAGCTATTAGATTTTGCACTGGCGCTTTTTCTAACTTCTTGAAATAGGCCTGGACTGCAATGTACTTTCCTCCTAGGACTGTCTTTGCCGCATTCCATAGAGTTTGGATTGTTGTATTTTCATTTTCATTTGTTTCCATATATTTTTAAATTTCTTCTCCAATTGCCTGATTGGCCCATTCGTTCTTTAGTAGGGGGTTCTTTAACCTCCATGTTTTTGGAGGTTTTCCAGACTTCTTCTTGTGAATGATTTCGAGTTTCATAGTATTGTGATCTGAAACTGTGCATGGTATGATCTCCATTGTTTTATATTTATTGAGGGCTGCTTTATGTCCCAGTATGTGATCTATCTTGGAGAATGTGCCATGCGCACTTGAGGAGAAAGTGAATTTCATGGCCTCAGGATGTTGACTTATAAATATATCTGTCAAGTCCCTCTGGTCCAATGTGTCATTCAAGTCCGTTTTGTCTTTAGTGATTTTCTGTCTAGTTGATCTGTCCATTGCCCTAAGTGGAGTATTAAAGTCCCCTGCAATTAGCACATTCTTGTCGATAAGACTGTTTCTGTTTGTGATTGTTTTATGTATTTAGGTGTTCCCATATTTGGTGAGTAGACATTTATAATTGTTAGCTCTTCCTGATGGATAGATCCTGTAATTATTATATAATGCCCTTCTTCATCCCTTGTTACTGTCTTTATTTTAAAGTCCAGTTTGTCTGATATAAGTATAGCTACTCCAGCTTTCTTTTGACTTCCAGTAGCATGATAGATATTTCTCCATCCCCTTACTTACAAACTGAAGGTGTCCTCCAGTCTAAAATGAGTTTCTTGTAGACAGCAAATAGTTGGATTTTGTTTTTTTTATCCATTCTGCTACCCTGTGTCTTTTGATTGGAGCATTCAGCCCATGTACATTCAGTGTTATTATTGAAATATATGGGTTTAGAGTCATTGTGTCCTTTGTGGGATTCATGTTTGTGGTGGTGTCTCTAGTATCTTGCTTTCCTTGCAGCATTTCCCTCGGAGGTCCCCCTCAGGATTTCTTGTAGGGCTAGCTTAATGGTGACAAATTCTTTCAA